TCACAGACAGACACACAGACAGACGGGCGGCGGAGGCGGCCGGTCATCTCGAACCGGTCAGAAGTGGACAGTCGCGCCGGGCCAGTCCTCTCCCAGCAGGGGTCGCGCCCGGTCCAGTCCTCGACCAGGGGTCGCGTCTCTCACTGGTCTTCACTCAGCGAGCTCAGCTGCCGGTGTCAGGACCGTCTCTCCAAGACACACGTCATGGTCGTCAGGTGAGTGTCAGCGTCAGGTGCCCGATTGATGCCATTCTGTTTGGTCTGATGCGTTAGTGGATGTCGAGGTGGTCAGGTGAAAACATTTTTGTTGTGTTCATGCTTGGTTTGTTGTTTGGTTGTGGTTGTGTGTTTGGTTGAATCCCGGCTCGGTACGCAATGGTTGTCAAGTGAGACTGTGCTTGCCTTTTCACGGTTTTGCCTTTTTAGCTGTTACCGTACGACCCTTTCTAACTAACCGGTATGCGACCTTCAGTAATTTTTAGAAAACAGCCGGCAATTCTCACAGATTCATGACACCTTTTGGCTTATTCATTTCATTTATAACGAATAACAATATCAAATTAATGACGCCGCTAACAACACCACACCCTCTACCCCGCACCGAAACACTCTCACTTGGCCGCTGCTCCACGTGACTGGCACAGCCGCCGCCGAGCGTCCGACCCTTCAGCATTGTTGTTCGGCAATTTTGCATGTGCAGATCGGTCAGAAACCGGTCGGGGCGACTCCGGCAGTGCAGGGAGGGAGCTCCTGGCCGTGACCCCAACCTCGACCGGTCCCGTGGCCTCCCCTGGCTCGGCGCCAATTGTTGGAGGGGTCATGAAGTGGTTTACTAAGATATCCCGGTTATCAGGGAGTCGGTGGTTTTGTGGTAAATGTCAGGCTAGCAGAAGCGTTTTGTGGTTAGGCTGTCAATGGTCTGTCATGTGCACGTGATTGAGCTTGATGTGGGAGGGATTATGAACCTGGTACCCGGAAATTATAAACAATGGTAATGAACATGTTGAGCCTCTTCATCAGATTCAGGTGCTCGTTTCGTCGTGCATGGCTAAGTAGATAAACAAAATTCCTTTCCATTCATCACATGATATGTTGATAGCTGTTTATGACCGAATCGGAATCCAGAGTCGCTTAGCTGCAGCTTTCAGTGCTCCTATTTAATTTCCTTATAACATTAAAGAGCAATAACGCTGTCACGAAACAAAAGTGCACTAAGCTGTTTCGTCATCCATATTGGTATGCTTCTGTTGGTATGGCCTATTTGAAGATCATTTTATGATGTGGCTAGAAAAGCAGCATATGTACATGATCGGTTGCAGCATTTACCCTCTACTTAAAATTCGCCATTTGTTTTGTTAGGGCTTTGACTCGAACGTCATTGAATGCAAGGACTGTCAATCGAGCTAATTTGAGATGGTTAATTACATCTTCTAGGTATGTAGTAGATCATCCTTAAAGATGGCATTGCTTTGTGCAAAACATATTCTTAGCTAAATCAATGATTTCCACAATCCACACTCTTCACTTCAATAGCTGTACAAATTAGGATACAGTGGAGCAGAAGGTACGCTGTTTTTACTGACACCTCTTGGACAAACCGATATAGATTCCGGTAATCATTTGCCTTATATGAACGTCATCTAAGTATACCTTTTGAGAGCTACCATGTCATGCTCTAATGCCATTCAAATGATGGTTTACCTTTTAAGCTCTCAAAATAAATTTGTTTATGAGTTTGAAATAAGATTTTGTAAGGCAGAGATAAAAAACACACCAAGGTGCTGTATGCTGTCTTTTAACTACCTATGCGTGTTTTGAGAAAAGCGCCTTTGGCATCCTCGAGCACGCATGGTGCATGGTGTTTTTTTATACTTTTTTGCTGGTGTATTTGTCCCATAAGTCTCAAAATGCTTTTTGTTAGCGATTCACCAAATACTATACTATATTCACTTTCCCTTGATCGTAACGTTGTCACCCTGGGTAAATTCCTTAAAGAACGAAATCAATTAAATAAACAACATTAAGCTTCCATCCAATCAGTAAACATAATATTACCAGCTGCAAGGAGCCCGATGAAAATCGTGCGATAGCTGAACTGGTTTGCTGACTGCTAAACGGCCTTCCGCATATTTGGCACATATGTAGCCGCATACATGAATACCCCAGCGGCGTCGGCTCCGTCAGCGGCGGCGGCAGCTGGGCCAAACAGCGCCGGGCGCGCCGCAGCGTCGCCGACGCGCCGCGATTGTAGTCAATGTTGTGTAGTGTCAGCAGAGCGTGCCAATGCACAGTGATAGCCGACACTGCCACGTGAGGGGCATCCCAGAGGAGAGATGACGTCACAGGATCACCGGGAGATCAGGGAGGAATGACGACTGATGCACCAGGTGCTGGTTCTTGCATCTCCTTCTCTCTCTCTCTCTCTCTCTCTCTCTCTCTCTCTCTCTCTCTCTCTCTCTCTCTCTCTCTCTCTCTCTCTCTCTCTCTCTCTCTTTCTCTCTCTCTATCTATCTATCTCTCTCTCTTTCTCCCTATCTCTCTCTTTCTACTCTTAGTCTTCTTGTCGTTCTCTCACTTCCATCAGAGCTTCTCTGTATTCGTACCCGTAGACCGTACTTCACTGTCTCTTGGTTATTTCCCTTCACTGGTCAGTGGTCATCCCCATCCACGATATGATACAGCAGTCAGCAGCCACAATAAATCTCGCATTTTGACGTCATCAAACCACTATCTAGAAGAACTCAGCAACGCTCATCTCTTGTCTGCATCTTCGCCAGCACTCTGTCACCAAGATCCTCACGGAAAATCGCCTCATCTCCGCGCTTCGATGGCCTTGTGTGCCTCCTATCGTGCACCGCGCTGTGGCGTCCAGCTGAGGCTGGCTGACCTTGCTAGGCACATGTCGCACCCCGACGAATTTCTCTCAGGCCCAGCTGTGCAAATACGCTGCTAAGAGCACTGAAGGGTGGCGAAGTGATGCAGACCATCAAATGAAGTGCTCACGACTCACGAGGGACGAGCACGTACCAAATGCGGCCACGCTTCAACCGTTCGCAGCAATGCTCATGGGTGTTTTTAGATACAAAATGACAGGATGGCTGGCACTGGCTGACCTCCGTGCATCTGATCAGTGATGAATACGGAGCAGCGTCTGGGCAGCGGCTCTGGACCACGGCTACCACCGGCTGACACGACTGACCCTTCCTGACGCCGGCACACGAGATGCCGCGGGCGGGCGCTACCACCGATTGATACCGCCTGACCCTTCCTGACGTGGGCCCGGGACGCCGCGGGCCGGCAGTACCGCTGCTGATACCACCCAACCCTTCCTGACGCTGGCACGAGACGCCTCATGCCATCGGCCGGCGCTACTGCTGCGTCTATCGGGTCTCGTCGAGCACGCCCTAAACCGGTTTGTTCAGCGTCCCGGTCACGGAGAGTGGCACAGCTCGGTCACGACTGGACTCACGGAGGCGCCGTGACAGGACGCGGGCACGGTTAATCGTCCCCGGCAGTCGGGCTGTCTGCCTACCTTGGTGTGATGCAGGGACAGGGGCGGACGGCACGGACGGCACGGGCGGCCACTGTTCCCCTCTCGACGCCGCGTCATTTCTATTCTGTGCGCTCAGCGGGATACTGTCAGATCAAGGACGAGCGTCGGCTATATGCATGCTATAGTCTCAAGTGGCAAACAGATAAAGCCTGCCAGGGAAAGCCGACAGGACGCTGCGTCAGAGCGGGACTGCAATGCACGGACAAAACGCTATCACGAAGTCATGAGCGTCGCAGCAAATAGGAACGTCGCGTGAGTGATGCATACGGTACGGTACAGCGGCTCCTTAGACAATTATTTCATTTCTTTCTAGATTGTCCAGTAGCCATTTTTATCCGAATGATAAAATGTGCCAGCTGTTATTACGATGAAAATTAACATCTGGAGCGTTGAAGGCTTTACCTACGCTTAGAACATTCATAGTTTTTTTTTTTACTTTATCGGTAAAACTTTCACTCTCGTTTTAAAATACTGATCTTCTTTTATTTCATCATCTAGCTCTTGCTTTATGGGATCTGAAACATTATAGAAACAGCTCGAAATGTTTTGCTTCTGCTTCATTCTTAGAAGTTCTAAATGCCTAGGATTAATTCGTTGCTTTCATGGAATATACGACTTTATCGTATCTTCACTCCTCTTTGCTAGAAAACGAATGTGCAACACTCTCACTCCTCCACTTTTTTATCCCGAGTCAAGCCCAACGCTCAGCTTTCGCCATCAAGTGACACCATTCAGAAAGACACACAAATACAAAGAACAAACTCGAGGAGCTGGCGCTCGTTTTCGGCAAACAGAGGAGACCGTAACTCTGCCCTGTTCTCTGTGAAACTGTGTCAGCGGCGCCACCTGTGTCCGCGCTGTCAGCCGCGGCTCCTGCGGCCCCGTTAGATGACAATCGGCTGTCCCACGACATTAGCACATGTATGGCAGGCAGCGCTGTCCGCTTGTCTGCCAGCGGCGCGTCCCCCGCGGCGGTGGTCCCCGTCCGTTCAGTGTCGGCGCCGTATACCAATCTACGGGACACTAGTTCCCCAGTGGGGGACCATCTCCTCGCGACAGCCGCCCCAGTAATTAACTACCGACACTCGCCTCCGCTGGTAATGTGTGTTTTGAACACCTCTCACGTCTCGGCGGCGCGCGTCTCCCCCTCCCCGCCTTTCTCCCCGGGTCGAGGCCCCATTGACAGCGGTGTCCTCCCCCGCCCCCCGCCGTGGGTTCTCCCGCAATGACAAACGACAGGCGACGGCCGGCCGGGCGCCGCTCTGATTGGCTGACGTCACGCTTAATGAGAGCGCTGGAGGCGCTCATTGGCCGCCGGCATGACGGACGGCCGGCGGTGCGCGTCCTGATTGGCCGGCCGATAGCCGACCCAGTTGGCGGCGTGCGTGGCCGCCCCGCCCGCGCCGCCTCCGCCCGGCCGACCGCCCAGCTATCCGCCACTGACGCCCAATTACTGATCTAATTACGTGACAACGAGACGATCGGCAGCCGGAACTGTTTGACAAACTGCTGTCAGTCTGGGACGTCTTCCGCGCGCGTGCCATCACGAGTGCCTTAGCCCACCCTTAGTGATAACGTATCACCTTGAACATCAGTGTGATAGCTGTCACCTCACTGTGATGTGTGACTGACGCGTGCCGACATCAGGTGCCGCAGCGGCAGCCTGGGCTGCGCCATGAGTCTTCACACGCCGAGCGAGAGCCCCAGCCCGCGACCCGACCCCGAGTGGGACATCAACGAGATCAGCGACGCCAGCGTGCCAAAGGTCGGTCACGGTGGGGGCGGATATCAGTCATAAATTATTAGGAGAGTCTATAAAATGTTTTGATTACCTAGTCAGAGTGTTAGAGAGGGAGTTATTCTGCTAAACGTTATGGCTAAATGTTGCTACAAAGTTACAAAACAACGAATTTGGAGGTATTTCTGCGTCTACGAGTAGGTGCACCCAAGATTACTTGGTGCATCTGCTCAGCGATTATAGACTGATGCAGCAAACGCTTCGGTGAGAACTTCGGGAAAGATCAGGTTGACGGAAACGGAAAACGGCATCTTCTTCGCTTGGGCATCTACAAAACAAAACTAAACGCAGCAAATTAGGCAGACTGTCAGCAGCACGAATCCTGGGCAGTCCCTAAAGGGGCACTTTACCCTGTTCTAAAACCCGGTCACGCATCTCTGCGCGTGCAATGCTGTTGCCACCATTAGCGTATCTCTGTTTTTAGTCACCGTTTTCCGGTTGCTGTTTGACACGCGATTCGTGCATTACCACAGCTTCATCCATTACCCATTATATTCTAACAATAACACCATTAAACTTAACATGCTCACCAACACTTCATTATAAGGCATCTGTAAAACAAAACAAAACGCAGCACATTAGGCAGACACAAACACATAACCGACAACACCGCTCGGCCGTCTAATATCCCCCGCACGACCCTGGTGGCGACGTCGGCATGCTCTGGCCCCATTCACTGTCAACCTCGCCAGACAGCCCATCCGTCACAGCCGGGCGCGCCTCTGTCAGTTGACAGCATCTATGTCGATCTGCCATCGACGCGTGGGTCTGATGGTCCGACATAGGACCGCGGTCCGGAGACTCGGTTGGACCAGCTGCAGTCGGCTGCCACGGCACATCACGGCGACCTCAGGGCGGGCGGCCGGCCGGGGCGGTCCCACTCACCGCCGGACCCCACTGAGAGTGAAAACATGCTCAGCATACAGCAGCGAGCTGATGCTCGAATGCATGAGAGCCTGATAGAGGCCGTCAAACGGTACTGTGAAGCCAATCAAAGGCTGCCGGCTCCGCCCGGGGCGACGGGGTGACGGCGGCGGCGGCAGTGGCGGCAGCGGCGGCGGCGCAAAGCTGGCCTTCATCGTCAGTCCTGGACATCCGTGACGCAGTTAACAGCTCGTCACTGGCACGGACTGCCCGCTGCGGGGGCCAGAGCCGCCGTTTTATTCAATATCTGCGGCTGGCCCTGTGTCCATGGACAGGTTCTGCTAAACGGTGGTTTGCCCCCGGCAGGACGAGGCGACTGCTGCTGCTGCTGCTGGGTGCCAGCAGCGTCTGCAAGTCATGACGGGGCCATCCCGTGCCGTGGGCGGTCGGCACGTGCTGCCCACCAGCACCCTCTCCCCTCCCCTCTCCCCTCTCTATCCCCCATGATACCCCTGAACCGGTCCCTCAGAGACCAGAAGCATCAGACCCACCCGCAGTCCTCGCGCTTGACTTCAGCACAGCGACGTTGCTCACCACACCACTGTAACTGTTAGCATATCGGAGCTTACAATGTTGTAATGCCAATATGCTAAGCCGTTTCCGTGTTTATTCTTCTCGGCATTCTTCACCTATGGTATACTTAATTAGGTTCTTCACCTACCGAACAGTTCAAAGCTGCAGATCACACACGATCGAACTCACCTGCTGACGTTCAGAAACACAATGATCTGCGTTCGTGTAATGCAATGAATGCGCCCATGGTCTCAGTGACAAACGAGCTCGTTACGTGATATTTATTTTCGCAGCATGTGAGCGATTGCATTCCTCTCAGGGCTCATGGTAACCACCCGGGAGAAATTACATGGTTTGGAAGACGGCTGGTTTGAAGCTGGCTATTTCTGTTTCTAGTCACGGGGGTCGTGCAGTCAAGACATCCCGATATTGATTGCACGCAAGCTCTGCTTCATTCCGTTCACTGTTTTCCAGCTCATGGAGAAACAAGAAGCAAAAAAATAAAGATAAATATAACCAACCTAAAGTGACTATGCGTTTTTAAACTAGAACGTATGTACCAACGTTCCTTTCTTATACCTACATCTGGCCAATGCAAAAGCGCACCATTGACATGTTACCAATCGAAGACGTGGGTGCCGTCCACTCAGTCGCAGCTCGCCGGGGAGGGCTTCCCGCGGCTCCGTTCCGCCTGAACGGAGCTACTGAGACTGAGCAATGGTGACAGCTCAGTGACATTGCTATCAGGACATCTGCCGAACAGACATAAACGTCAATGGGACAGAACGGTGCGCATGTTTCCCGTCAGACAAGTATGAGACTATCTGTGCAGTACCGGCCAGTGGCGGATCCAGGGGAGGGCAAAATGGGCATTTGCCCTCCCCAAAGCTAAATCATGTGGGCAAGACTGTCCTTTTGCCCCTCCCGAAGCATATAGAGATGATAAAATTGAATACGGCGTCGAGGACTATCTGGACGAAAAGCAGAACTTTCGGTGACGGCCTTTCTGAAGGAAGGAGCTGGACGCTCGCTGCTGATGATTTATGGCAGAATGCTGTTAATAGATCGAACTCCCTGAACTGATTGCATGTAGATAGTGTGGCGTTGTAAAGTCGTTTGGTCATCTCGGTGCTCAAGGGCAGCGGAAATCCGGATAGAGGGTGCAGGGGTTCAGCTCCAGACCCATGGAAAACCTTGGAGTGCAAACATAGCTTTTTGCACCCTCCAAAAGCCGTATAAGAGGCCTGTCACACCACCAAATACATTTTATCCTAAAAACCAGTGATCGGGAAACGAACGATCATGTGGGATCACCGATCATCAGACGTCTAGTTGTTGGTCAGGAGCGCCCTATGCTGGTCTTTGGGGCCCTCACCGGCTAGGAGTGTCCTGAACCGCGTTTGGTGCCCCATGACGGCATCTGAGGACCCCACGGAGACTCCAGGGGTTACGCTGCCTCTGAGGGCCCCCACGGCGGTCTCTGAGGGCCCTCGTGACACGGTCCTAGACCCATCTCAGGTCTGAGTGCCCATCGGGCTTTAGACGGCCCACGGCGGCCTCTGAGGGCCCCAAAACAACCAGGTTGCAGGGCTATGCTGGCATCTGAGGAACCTGTGACGGTCTCTTGATGCCCCTAACGATGGACTCTGATGTCCTTACCACAGCCTCTGAGGGCCTTGCAAAGATACCTGAGGGCCCAGGGCCTATGAAGACCGTCATGATGGCCAAGGATCTTCATGATGACCTCTGATGGTCCTCTTGAAGGCTTCTAAGGGCCCTCACAACGATTTCCACAGTGATTCCACCCGAGACGTTCCCTGAGTGCCCTCACGACGACCTCTAGGACCCAATGCAAGCTTCAAATGCCCACGCTGGCGTCTGAGGGCCCCCACGACGGCCTCTGATCTGGCCTCAACGCAGGCAGACTGCAGGGGTCATGCTGACCTCTGAGAGTCCTGTAACGAAGGCTCCAAGGGCTCACGCTGGCCAACCCTACGACGGCCTCTGGAGTGCCTTAACGCAGGCAGGGGACATGCTGGCCTCGGGGCCCCGCGAAGATTTCAGATTCAGAGGCCCTTCACAACGACCTTTGAGGGCCTTACAAAGGTTTCTGAGGGCTTACGCAGGCTCGTGGGATTCCACACTGATTGTCAGGTCCCATGTAGGCTTGTTGGGACACTGTATCCGCTCCTGGTGCCCCTTCGCCGGCCTCTGAGAGTCTCAACACCGGAACTTCTTGGCCCTACACCGGCTTTTAGGACCATTATATCGATCTTGGTACCCACGACCCATCAAATATGTGTCCAAGCGGCTTCTAAGAATCCCCATGCATGTTCCACGGACATGAAGCCGAATTTTTGGGCTCACACGGGAGCTCTTGGGACCCCATGAACGCTCCAGGGACCTACCTGCCTCCAAGAGCCTCACACATACTTTTGGGGCCCTAACGCTTGCCCCTGAAGGCCTCACTCAGACTCCTACCCTTTCCTCCACACCGGTTCTTTAGGCTAAACATCAGCTCCTTTGGCCTCTATCCCGGTTTTGGAGGGCCTCCAATCTCCATACAGGCTCTTTGGGTCCGATGCCGGTCTTTGAGAACTTTCCAGACTCTCGAGCCTACGCTGCTTTCTGAAACCCTTCAGCACCTTCTGAGGAACCGACCCTGGTCGGGGACTCATTCAATCTGAGAAGTCGTGAAGGCTTCTGGAGGAGCCTCCATTGAGTCATTCAGTTTCCAGGTTTTTTAACGGTCTTGTAAGAGCGGACCCGTAGGGCTCTCAAAGGTCCACTGCGGATCCAGAAAAGTGGTTTGAGGCTTGCGGGTGGTGGTTAGCATAAGAAAAATCACCCAATAAAAAACTTGTTGCATTTCACTTATTTAGGTATGCTGTGATTTTGTAAGGTTCACTGAAATATGCAAACATTTTGGATAACTTCCTGCATGGATTGTTTCCTTAACTTTTGGTTTTCATAAATCGATGATTGACAGCTTAAAAAGTAAAGGGGCCCAAAACCTTCAGTGGGGCCCCTTGAGAAAATTTTGCATCCCCATCCAAAATTTATTTTACATTCCTCCCAGTGCGGGGGCGGATAGGGGTCGTCGGATAGGTCGGAAACTTTTGCCCTCCCCAAACGGATCGGCTGGATCCGCCCCTGGTACCGGCCACTTGGATTTTATGTTGGGGTATGTCGTAGAGGTCTGCACCGGCCGGCTGCAGCCGCGGCTGGCTGCAGCCCCACGGCTGTGGGCCGGGGCGGCTGCAAATATCTCCAAGAACACGGCTACGGCTGTGGCCACGGCTGTGAGATTTCAAGCTCAATCTTAAGTACTCAAATATAAAATTTTAAATCCTTAATCTTACATTCTGATAAGCAGTCTAGCCTGTAAAAATCATGCAAAGGATGCCCACTGCCCAGCAACATTGAAAGTGGTGAAGCCTTTGATAACCTGTAATGGTTTTATCATTTGTCGTAGGGGAGTTTGCACTCTGGTACAGAATACTAATTATAGGTACGTACGTACCAATTGTTCCTTCATCATCAAGAGCTTGACAGTTTCAGAAAATGCAACATGTTGCATTGTCACATCCCTCTCAAATCAATCTCATCTGGTCATTAGGAGAGCACCTTACAGCTATTGAAGACAAGCGTTCAATAATTCTTTCAGGTAATAGAAAAAGAAATAACGCCTAGGTAAAGGCAGGCAAAGACTTCATAAAATATTATCTTAAATAACTCTTAGATGTATTTCTGGATTTTCGGCAAGTCCAATTACATAATATAAAACTGGCGCTTTATGTTCTAAGTGGTGTGTGAGTGACCGCTAACAGAAAATGCTCATCAACGAAGCCAATGGAATTAGATTATTAGGGAGCACAAACCTTACTTACGGTTAATTCACATGACGTTGAAAACCCTGAGCACGACATTTCTTACGCGAGCAGTTGACTTTACTAATAAAATGACGTCTTTTTCTGAAAATGTAAAGATTTGATACTGAATCTTTGTTTGAGAGCATGTTTTTAATTGTTTAGCCTTATTATTTATAAAACATTATATTTATGGCTGTTTGTAGAGATACAAAAAAATTATTGCCAGTTCTTTGCTATTGACGTCATTTAAAACTCGAATAAAATTTTTGATTGAAAGAGGCAATTGTGGCTCGCACGTCCTTGGTGATTTGAGCGAAGATTGAAGAAAAATGAAAATCAAATTGGAAAAATCAAAATAGGTGAATGTTTTTCTTTCTTGGATGCTCACTAGTGTTTTGATGCCTTGCGGCTTGCATATCAAATTAGTTTGAGACTTGCTCAGAAGGCTGCTTCAAGCCTGGCATATCACACCCCAGAAAATATGCAAGGTAAGAAAGGAGCAAGAGTTTTGACTAGACAATCACTGTTTGACAGTCCATCAACTTCAACTTCAGTTTCATTTTCCATAACATTGATAATGAAAAGCATCAAGGTCTGTTGTTCTGTCCCACAACCATGCTCCAGGATTTGGCATTAGATGTCTACACTGCTAGTGCTTCTATTCTGGTTCGTTGTTTACGTTTTCTGTTGATGTAGGTACCTACCTTATACCTACCCATCTTTCTTAACCCCTTGCAAGGGCTTGTGTAGGCATGCGTTGCGCATCAGGCTTCAGGCCTTCGGCCTGAAGCCAGATACACAACCACTTAACCTATGATGCTTCATGAGCTTGAGAATCTATAGCCCATTGCAATGTGCTTTTGGCTATATGTTTTAACTACAAACAGCTTATTATATGCTATTTGGTTGCATTTCATTGATAGTATCCACGGCCGGCTGACGGCTGGCTGCCCACAGTTTGCCACGGCTGTGGGCGGCTGTGGCTGTGGAGCCACGGCTGCGGGGCGGCTAGGCTGTGGAAAATTGCAGCCGTGCAGAACTCTAGTATGTCGTGACCAAGCGGCTCACTTCAAGCACTTTTCTGGATATATAAGCAAAGTAAATGCGCCTTATAAACGTTTAAGCTGTAGACGACACTCGAGGTTTAGCTTCAGCTTTTATTTTTGGTGCTAATGACTTAGGCAAAAACTGTGTCTCTCTCTCATTTTTTTCATCATCAACTTTTATTATAACTTCCGAGTTCCACCCCACGAATGGTAACTTATGCCTTTATTCCCGCACGCCCAGAGTACCGCCATTAACCCATTTATGCCCAGGAATATTGACCATCATGAAAATCGACGAAATCAAAATATGTTATGCTCCTACCAGGGCCTTGCATGGAATCGATAATAATTTTTGCCTGCAGCAAAAGTTTTTCGAGAAAAACGTAAAAAACAAGCGTTGCGAAATCGCAACGAAGGGCACACCGGGCGCCATCAGCGTTGCGAAAACGCAACGACGGGCACATCAGACGGATATAAAGTACACTGAACTGCCGTATATGCTAATATGTTTTAACAAAACATCAATCAACTGTTGACAACTATTGCTTGAAAATGCGGAACCCACATTCGTCGTGCTCTATAACCCGCCTAAGAGCCTCGGTGAGGAAGCATAACTTCATGATTCGCGAACGGGGAGATGGCAACACGGTCATTATCAACCATTTACGTTGTCCATTGCTGTTCATTTAAAGTTGTGATCGACACGTATCCAGGGTGATGCTTTCTTTTTGGAAGCTAGACAGAGCCATTACCCCCACCTATCAGACCCCACACTGAATAAGTGAATACAATTAAACGGAGGATTGGGAGTAAACTAGTGCCTCACGTATGCGAGTATATCCGCAATCATTGTTAACCACCCTCCTAGGAGTAAAGTTAAATTCCATTGCAGGTTAGTCGTACCCACTCTCAGCAAAAAGAAAAAAAGGACCGATCCGGCTCTAACAAATTACCCGCGTAAGGCATAGCGCATCACAACAAATCGACTCCCAGTTTAGCATGTTTACACCTAATCCAAAATTTTCATGGCCCCACTCTCAGCGACCTTCACGTGTAACCTCTTTCTCGGGACAATGCCAGGACAGAATGGAGATTCGACGTCAATCCGTCCTTTCCATCTTCAGGATAGTTGAATCCTCCTCCACGCCTCAACCCCCTGTTCCGGGCTGGACCGGCAACGTATATCGCAATCGGGCAGCTCACATAGGAGCGCGCCTGTAGCCGGGTGCAGTGAGTGCTTGGGAGGGGGGAAGGGGGTGAGTCATGGGTGGCCTGCCCAGTGCCCACTGGCTGGGCTCAGTCTCCAGTCTACGATTAACCGTGTCCGGTCAGACAAATGTCTCCCCTAATTCCAATAATCCTGCTAGCTCTAAGTCTGATTAGATAAAAAGCCTATCAAAGTAAGAAAACAAGCGTATACTCCACATCAAGCATGCATGCTTGATGTGGAGTATGCAGCTTATGAATCTATGCGAGTTATGAATCCTAAAAACTATTATTTTTCCAGGTCCGCCCTCATTACCCCTGCCGAAGGGCTCAGCTACCCCCAGAGGGGGCCTATCCCACTATTTGCCGACCCTCAGTTATCTTTTCTAACGTAAATGTTGGTAGTCAGCAGATTCTATCCAGAGAATGGCGATGCCTATCTGTCGCCTGATACCAGAATGCATCCCCGTTATTCATCATTTATGCACAATGTACATAGTAGATCCAATTTCCAAAGGACCTAATTATCTCTCAGCTCCGTTAGCATCGCCGACCGTTTGATGCATGGGCCCTTTTCCTACCATGCGATTTTCAGATGCATGGGAACACATTGCTTTGGTGAACGAACAGCCCGAGGCCGATAATCTGCGAGAGAATAAGAAAGGAGTTTTGTGGCTGTTTGAGCCAGCAAATATGAAATGTGTCGCAACATTTTACGTGCGAACGCACCTTGCACTAAACATACCTATCCTATACACGTCCCTCATGGCATAGGCGGCGGAGCGGGGGGGGGAAGGGGGAGGGGCACCAGGGCACCGTGCCCCCTTGATTTTGCCATTTTAACATTATCCCTATAGGCGTTGCATGGAAATGGAAATGGAAAGAATGGGACCAAAAGTCGGCAGTGCCCCCCCCCCTTAATTGAAGATATTCCGTCGCTACAGCCTCATGGCTACAAAATAAAAGAGAGAAAGAAAGAGAGAGAGAGAGAGAGAGAGAGAGAGAGAGAGAGAGAGAGAGAGAGAGAGAGAGAGAGAGAGAGAGAGGGAGAGAGTTGGGGAACGAGGAGGAGAGGGAGGAAGATTGGGGAGAGAAAGAAAGAACCCACAGCGTATCAGGAGTGAAGTCTACTGTTGATATTCATACTTCCGCTACCCTGCCAATGTGCCCATCGTTGCGTTTTCGCAACACCGCTGTCTTTCCGATGTGCCCTTCGTTGCGTTCCCGCAACGCGACCGTAGTCATATTTGAAAATAGTCACAAACCCTTTTTGTAGCATTATTTCTTAACAAAATGCATATCTACGCTATTGTAGGGACTCTGCAGAATATGTTTACACAATTTTCATTACGATATTATTAAGCACTTGGCCTACTTATCTTGGTTTTCGTGACGTCATCACTCACAAAACCTTCGACTTCCCTCTGGGAGCTCTAGGCAGTAACTTACCGGCCGCACAGACTTGTAACTGCGTAGCATCATCCGCACAACCATGCTACACACACTGAAACTTGTCTCATCGGTTAGTCTCTTTTACACACTTCTCAAGCTTCGATCACGTCGACGCTTGCTTGCGTTGCGAAAACGCAACGAAGGGCGTAAATGGGTTAACTGCTCCCACAATTATTATCGGTGGGCAGGTGCCACTTCGAACACAGCTACTTTACATCCACAACTGATGCACTGTGATACCCAAGGACCTGTTAATTAACTAATGAACTCGGCACGCGCTGCAAACTCGGTCCCGTGACTGCGAGATCGTGTAGTAGACATCATCATTGCCATTCGACGTGCACAGAGCGTCTCGTACATTTGGTGATCGTCTCGTTAGCATCTGAGGGACTGCGATAACACACAGAGATTACAGAGGCGCAGTGACTTAAATCCGCGCCGGTCTGTTGCGTGATTGTGATCAGCACATGGGCTGAATACCACTGAGGCACTCGCTACAATCATTAGAAGCACCTTTATTGCTGATGCATGTAATTTATATGTCTATTTAAGGTCTCAATGACTGTTTGGTATTCCTGTCAGCAATATTTGTGTAGACCGAACATGCATAGTTTAATGAGGGCCGATAGCCATCAAAAACATCCTGATAACTAGATATATGACAAATATATCATTTGAGCAGCATAAGCGCACATCTGACATCAATGCATTCCAAATGTTCGTAAGTACGTATTGGGAGGAGGCAAAGCCATCTTAAGAAAATCTCAGCGACACAAAATTAGGGCTGAAAATATCACCAATAGTACGTGTGACCTCCAAAATAATTGACCACATTAGTGACCATATCTTTGTAATCCTGAAAAATACCATCCTAAGGCTCCTGAGTGATGCTTCCTGCCAGCACTAAGTGACCCCTTTGACCATCCTTAACTGACCCCTGTTTGCCCCCAGGTGGTGCGATACAGCACGTTCGAGGAATGGCCGGACGGTGATTTCCAGAGGGTATACGCTCCCGACTCGGAGGACGCCAAGAAGCACACCTCCGGCTGGGCCATGCGCAACACAAACAACCACAACGTGAGTAACACGGGCGGTGACTGGTGGAAAAGTCTACACTGACAGGGATGAACACTGAACATGTTTTTTTTTTTTTTGCTTTGCTTGCACACTTTGAGGTCTTAGGTCGAATAACTTCAGTTGGATGAGTTCTTTCCACATAACGCCATTCGTCTCGTGAATAATTTATAATGTAGCATGCAGCGCTCAACAAAAAGACACTGCGATCCCGTATTATAATAATTTGTCTACAAATTTAAACACAGACACTTATAATACAGCTGCGTTATACGTATCGTCACAGAGACTGTGAGGCAACTGGCAGCAATGCCAAAGTTACACTCCAGCCCACCCCGGCTTATACGCAGATCATGTCGCATACCATCTAACGCAGATGATAAATGGAGTCATGTCAGCGCAGCTCTTGCCGACATTAATCAATACACCGGCCGGAGGTGTCACCTGCACAGTCATCTGACTGGCTGTCACCGGTCAGGCCCGGCTGACAGGTCGACCGTGACGGCCAGGCAGTGGCACAGGAACAGGAGAGGGATGGGAGGGAGGAAGCCGACGCGCTGCGCCAGGTGTTCACCCCGCCGCCGGCTGGGATTTCGAAATGATGCAGAGATGTTGTTGTCGTAGTCACGAGCCGGAAATACTCATACGCTTGACGGTCTTCGTTCTTGTTGGACAATCAGATAGTGGCTAGGGTTGGCGCAATTACATGTCCGTCGTCATTTGCATATTTTTATTTGACGCTGCCTTGAACTACGCTCGTGCATTTATTTTACATACATTGACAAAGTGACATTGCTGATTGAAGGATTTCCTTATGGCCTAAATGTTAGCCTATCGAGCTCAACAGCCTGTCCAGAGTCCAATTCACTCATTGCAGAAAACTGTAAAAAAAAATATGCTAAATATTTACTCCTAATTGACGCGTCGTGAAAAAAACGCCCGAACTGTTGCCAGCAATTCAATTTTTTTTTTTTTATCAGTGAGACTCTCTGGAAAAGCATGCAGTTATAGCACAAACACAGAACATCACTTCTGCATAGAACCAATTTAAGTTTTGCCATTTTGTCATTTAAAATATGCTTCGTTCTCACCGCGGCATCCAATAAACAAAATTGCGAGACCTCAGACCTGGATGGATGGTTCAGCAGTCAGCACCTATTCTGACATTTCTATTCCCAGCTCTTACTTGCCAATACCCATCCCATCTCGCTCTAAGCCTCTTCTCGTGGCGACTCTCAAACACTATCTCCCATTCTCACAGGTGAGCATCCTGAAGAAGAGCTGCCTGGGCGTGGTGGTATGCTCGGACTCGTGTGTGCTCGAGGATGGCTCCATGGTGCACCTGCGACCGGCCATCTGCGATAAGGCGCGACGAAAACAGCAGGGTAAGAAAGAAGGAAGTGAGTGGGAGAGACGGAACGAGGATGGCGGGTTGCGTAAAGATATAGGGGAAACCTATGATGATTGCATTCTATGTATGTGAGAGAAAAAGAAAAAATAGAAACTTTTACCAAACCTCCTTTAGAGAAAAAGTAGAGATTAGAGATAAAAGTTGTTTCCGTAATTAGCTCATGAAATCATTATTCAACATTTTTTTTTGCACAGTACCTACATAGACCGGATAACTTTATTCGGTACATATGTTAAAGTAATTTATTTTGAACGATCTGTTGTAAATGTTGTGGAATGACCAGCTGCTCATCTCGCCGGGTCAGCGCATAAATGAGCGTTGCAAAATGCAGTTTTTTTTTATATCTGAAGGCAAGCATCAAAGACGAACACAATATGTTCGGTGAGGCACCCGGAAACATACACACGCTGGGCACGAACTAACCTGAGTTTTAGCTGTCGGCTAAATAATCAGAAATGCAATAGCTGTCCGGGACACAGCAGAACATTAAATTCTAATCGTCACCGCTGCATCTGCTGGCCGATCTGAGCAGCTGGGTAGCTACACATCTCATCGACCGAATATGGCGTGGCTTAGGTTTGTACCAGGAATCTCTGCTTTAACCACAGAAGAGCATGCTAGAACATTTTCATTCAGTCACCCAAACATGGAAAAGAAGTGTCGATATCAAAGCTGCCAAGAAAGTCAAGCATCCAAAGGGATTTTAGAGTCAAATTAAAACCAACCAAAACCCGCAGTATCTAATTAGCCTCAGTATTTTCATTTTTCTCTTCTCCCCGCCAATCGCCATGCAGGGAAGCCGTGTCCGAATCCGCGCTGTGCTGGAAAGCTGACCATCATCGCGTGCAGAGGCCACCAGGGCTATCCGGTCACCCACTTCTGGAGACACACGCCGTTCGCCACCTTCTTCCAGGTAAGACGAGCTCTTACTGCTTATATCAGTGATATTTTTAATTCTCTCTGGTAGTACGAGTGGGTGGGTGAATGATGATTTTGACTTCCTTTATGCCAGGGGAACTTTATACTCTCATTTATGAGATCAAAGATAAAGTTATAGAGTCAGGTCTGTCTGCTTTGAAATGAGAGAGAGAGAGAGAGAGAGAGAGAGAGAGAGAGAGAGAGAGAGAGAGAGAGAGAGAGAGAGAGAGAGAGAGAGAGAGAGAGAGAGAGAGAGAGAGAGAGAGAGAGAGAGAGACAGAGAGAGACAGAGAGAGAGAGACAGAGACAGAGAGAGACAGAGGGAGAGAGAGAGAGAGAGAGAGAGAGAGAGAGAGAGAGAGAGAGAGAGAGAGAGAGAGAGAGAGAGAGAGAGAGAGAGAGAGAGAGAGAGAGAGAGAGATCTTCAGCTTCCAGGTGAGTGCTTCTTTTCGATTTTCGTCGCTGCGCTGACAGTCTCGCCTGGCTGGTTGCTTCCATTAACATTCTTATGCTGACAAATAGTCATTCTCCCTCAATTTATCCTCTCTCTCTCTCTCTCTCTCTCTCTCTCTCTCTCTCTCTCTCTCTCTCTCTCTCTCTCTCTCTCTCTCTCTCTCTCTCTCTCTCTCTCTCTCTCTCTCTCTCTCTCTCTCTCTCTCTCTCTCTCTCTCTCTCTCTCTCTCTCTCTCTCTCCCTCTTGCTTTTGCTCTCCCTCTTTTTTTTCTCGTTCTTTTTCCATCGCTTTTATTTATCGTTTCTTATTACTACAAATAATTAAAAACAGTTTGACCTGAGCGATTTTCACGGAAATGTAACTCTCTGGTATATGACATCATGCCGTTGTAACTGGGGCACTACATCACGCGACGTCGCAATAATATCGGAACATCCTGGGATTTTCAATGCGTCACAGTTCCGCACTGAATTTAAATTAGACACGACGTTTAACGACCAATGAGCGCTGCATAATCGTTGCGCATTGCAAACTGAACACGCGCTAATGGGCATGCGGGATAAATGGCCAGGTGCTAACTGCTAACTACCGCCGAACGAGACCGTCTAGTTAGCGGCGCCATTCGGCGGCGGCTCACCTCAGCTGCTACCGCCCGCAGGCTCCCGGCGCCGCGGTAATGGACTTTACTGACGGCCGCTCGAGCTGGCCCCGGGGCGTGTGTTCCCCTCCCCATCCGACAACCATCCCAGCTCACGGCAGCCCGCTGAGAGCATACAGCGATCGGCCGCTGCTGCGGCTGCTGCGGCGGCGCGGCGGCACGGCGGCCCCCGGCCCGACCACCCTATAGATACGCTCGCGTGCTGCGTTGAAGTCTTCCCTGCCCCTGGCTATCGTGTCGTGGCAGGGAGCTGTAATCAGCTGGTCTGAAACAGGGTAGCGGCAGTGCCGGTCAGCTCGAGCCAGCCGCGCTCTGCATCGCCGCCGGGGACCTAACCGGCCCTATCACCCCAATGGTAGCTCATTGATGATAACTCGGCCGTCAAATTTGATTAGCGACGGTCAATTCATTAGAATGCCGCCGCTGGCAGAGCTAATGGCACGGCAATGGAGCATGCAGCGCGGCGCGAGACGCCACAGCCCAGCTAATATATTATAGAGATAATTGTTGCTGATCGCCGGGACTGTCGTTGGCAGCGCTTTAAACAGCATAAGACTCATTTAATCTTAATAAACCATCGTTCCGTCATGAGGAGTTAACACCTGATAGTGTTGTAACTCAGCATTAGCACCGGGCGTGGTGGTCGTATCTTTTATCCGGCCTAGTGGCCGTTAAGTATATGTTTGGCAGCATAAACACACATCATACACTGGTAAATGCTGATAAAGATGTCGCTTATATGGATTTTACATCCAATAATAAGCTATCACTGGTCTCGAGGCTCGAATATCAGCAATACTTGTGCCACTGTCAAAGACGGAGTAAATGATAAAAAGCAGATTGCAGAGCAAGATTAAAGGGACCCTCTCACCTTCAAAAAAGTTAATGAATTGGCATGAAAGTAATGTCGCTCGGTTCAGAACGAGCAAAAACGGGTATCTACGAAATTTCACCGAAAAATATTCACCGGTTTTCAAGATATTATACTTTTACTTAGGTTTACTTTTTTGGGATCTCCGCTGTTCCTATAGCGACTTCATTTTGGAAGTGCGGGATTTGCGGCAGATGTTGCGCGCAAATAGCATATACCACCACTGCTTCACAAAGATGTTAGTATACGGTTTTAAAATCGTTAGATCACCGCTGACGTCAAAAATTCTAAGGGGGCATTCCAATGCATTAGCCCCTTAGAATCCGAAAACTGCAAGTTTGAAATTCCATACTCTCCGAATTATGTGAGTGCCCAAGCCGGTATTTGCAGGCCATGGCCACCAATTTGGCTATCTCAACTCAAAACTAATGTTAAGGTGGGATGGTCACTTTAACCCGCGCCCCGCTGGGGTCTGCCGACCAACGCGCCCTGCTGGTGGGGGGGGGGGGCAATTTGCCCCTCCCCCCTAAGATCTCAAGCACCACGCAACATAGCGCCAAGCAGCAAACGGTATTGGATAGCCTGATCAGGGAACTACCTTGTGACCCAATTTCGTTGAACTAGGTCAAACCGATGACGTCACAGGTTAGGTCAAATGTCGAATTTTCACCGTTTACAGGCATTTCAAGAAATGCGTTGTAAAATCGAGTAAAATGCATTTCATTGAAAATCATCGATAAGGAAATGTTCTTCAAACACATATTCTGCTATTTTAGGTCACTGATCCCAGGTCAGGTCACAGAGGTCAGGTCACTGAGGGTCACAATATGAAAATATCATGTGATGCATGTTTTATGGTCCATTTTATATGCCAAATACGATTATGTGGGTCAGGCAGCCTTTGGGGTCAGTTTAGATTATATTCTGGTGAAGGTCAGGTCAAGGTCAGGTCAAGGTCAGGTCAAATTAGGTCGAATTTCAAAGTTGATATTTTTGCATAAAATGGGTATCGATTCGATGCAGCTCGTCACGGGGAGTTCATTGGTGGTTTTTGTTTTGCGCTACGTGGTCTAGAATGGCAAAAAATTGAGTTCAAACATATGACGTCATCAATTTTGAACATTTTGTTCGCTATAACTTGGCCAAAAAAGGAGGTATCGACCTAAAATTTGGTATGTATATAGAAGAGCGCAGGGACTATCACATATCGACACCTTTTTTTAAACCCCACATCTGCTCTCCCGTGAATTTCCGGGAGGCACGAAAGATCTCCTTTTAACCCGCGCCCTGGTGGGGTCTGTTTATAACGCGACCTGGTGGGGGGGGGGGGCTATTTTTTGCCCCCCTCGTATCTCCGAAACTACTGGACGGATCCGCAAAATTCAAACGGCGTTCGAAAGGCCTGTCAAATTTGTCTAGAGAAACCAAATTTTATTGACCTCGGGGTCACCGATGACGTCACAGGTCAGGTCAAAGATGAAATGTTTCACCGTTCACGGGTCTTCTAGGGAATGCGCTATAACACCGAGGAAAACGCATAGTGTCGAGAATCAGCGATAGGGCGTCAGTTGCCTAGTAGATATGTTGCTATTAAAGGTCACTGACAATACCAGATCAGGTCACAGGTCAGGTCACCAAGGGTTACAGGTCAGGTCACATGAGCCCAACTTTACAAAGGTTGTGTGATGCATGTTTTATGGCCAATTTTTCATTTCCAACTCAATGGTGCTGGTTACAAGACTATCAGGTACGGCTTAGTTCACTTTCTGGTGAAGTTCAGGTCAAGGTCAGGTCAAGGTCAGGCAAAAAAGGTCAAATTATAAATATGATAGTTTTGCATAAAATGGGTATTGATTCGATGCAGCTCGTCACGGGGAGTCTAATGGTGGTCTTTGTTTTGCGCTACGGGGTCTAGAATTGCTAAAAATTGAGTTTGAAAATTTGACGTCATCAATTTTGAACAGTTTTTTCGCTATAATAACTTCGCCAAAAAAAGAGGCATCAATCTCAAATTTGGTATGTGGATGGAAGGCGGTAAGGACTATCACATATACTCCGGTTTTTGCGAAATTCAAAAAACTTTTTGGATTTTTCGATTATTATATCCAAAAAAATTATTTTTTGATTTTTGGGGGTCAAAATCCAAAAAATTCAAAAATTCGAGATTGCAGTTTTGTAGCCCTGTTAATTCTACAGTTTTTATGTCTTTATCATTTTTCTGTATTTGCAAAGCTATAGGCCTGACAGCTCTTCCCGCGAAACCCTTTTTTGGGTCGAAAACGGCAGAACATGACGTCACTCTGACGTCATTTCCGGCCAACCTATCATAGCCTTTGGAAAAATTTTTGGTCACAATGTGTAAAATTGATGTCCGGGAGGGTACTGAAAGTTTGGTGGCGATCGGCACAGCGGTTCTGGAGATATCTCGAAAAGTCTGGAGGGGGGGCAAAAAATAGCCCCCCCACCAGGTCGCGGGTTAAAAGCGTCCAATCGTCCGATCCTGATCAAATATGTGTGTTCGTAGGCCTGTTCTGGTAGGTATTGCTTTATCTGCCAAGACAGACAAACTTGACAAAAATCGAGTGATTGTACCTTTTTTGAAGGTCTCTAACCAACTTGTCTGAAATTCACCGGAGAACAAATGTGGGGTTAAAAAAAGGTGTCGATATTTTCCGTTTTTTAAATTCGGAGAAATGTTGGGATTTTTTAGTTTTGTTTCTAAAAAAAAATCAATTTTTTGAATTTTTGGGGTCAAAATCCAAAAGTTTGAAAATCCGAGATAGCAGTTTTGTAGCGCTGTGTTTTGTCTACAGGGTGAGCCATAAAGATTTACCCATCGATAAATTCACTTTATTTCCAAACGGGTTGGCGTAGGTATGCCATCTTTTGCATATATGTCGCAAATTTGTCTCCAATCCTGACGGTGTAGCCCATTTTGTATATGCTCGTCCACTGTCTCTGCTACGCTCCTGAAATGCGAGGTCGTCTTAACGCACATCCGCCGCTCCTGAAATTCAGGAATCACCACTGGGTGTTGGCTGCTGAACACTCCTTGGTCTAAAGAATGCTGGGCACCATTTATCCCCGACTTCAGCCCCACGGGCTTCGCAAACTGAAATATCCTGAAAACCCGACTCTACCAAGTCCCTGAAACACCGCAAATGACATACGGTGCAGCATTGTTATAGCATGGTTATCGAGGAAAATAAGTGAAAAGACGGTGCGGCGGCCGCGTGCCATAGTGCTCTTGCGTCTCGGGCGCGTAACATAAGAAGAATGCAAGCATGCAGCAAACATACTACATTTATTAGTTAGGAGATGACGTTGTTATATGCATGTAAAAGATGACATAGCTATGTCAGCGCGCCTTGAAACAAAGTTAAATTTTCGATGGGTAAATCTTTATGGCTCACCTGTACATGACCGTATAAAGAACTTTGAAATTGCTTGGTAACTGCTTGGTAACTGCTTGGTAACTGGGGCATTCCACGATAGATCGTACCAGGCCCGTCACCCTCATCTCTCAGATTTTAATGAAAATCGGTCCTAGGGGTAATCATAGGCCCCAAAGACGCCTGGCAAAATATCAGACTTCTCAGATCAAAACTTTTTGAGCTATATTGTATTCCATTTTTTTAACTTCGGTATGTAACGGTGAGTTTGATGGCCTATAACTCAAGAACGGGTTAAGCAACCAACAAAAAGTAAACAACACTAAGCTTGCGATGAATCAAAAATTAATATTACTATTTAAAAATTTCAAAGAAAAAATTTCATTAATTAGCAAAAACCTTAATCTTTTTTCATTTGCCTCTAATGACTTTTGGGACCAACATTTTTCACATTTTTATTTTTTCAAAATAATCTTCATGTCATTACAAATCGACATGCAAAAAATTAGAAAGGTGTTCTTTCTATAAGTTCCTCATTTTCCCGCAAACAAAATGGGTTTCGGAGGGGTTGATACGACCCCAGCACGCCGTTTCGCTTCTAATAGAGCTAGAGCCTCGCGGAAAAAACGGGCGTGTGTGCCGTTACAAGTCGCAGCGATTGGTACCCGATTTTAAGGTCTCAGGTTAACCGGTAGCGTCTGAGGTCAGGTCACGTGACTGAAGTTACGGGTTCGGTTTTTAGTAAATAACTTCGCAAAAAATGGCCGCAGAGCCGCGATTTTGGCATCATTGTGTTCGCCTAGCTCAGGTGCATCGAATGGTATACTTTTTGCTAGGGTGAGGTCAACTTAAGTAGTTGACCTCGGGTCAAGGTCAGGTCAGAGCCCCTCAGGTCACGAAGCTGGGCAAAGGGTATCACATGGCATATCATTCGATTCGGAAGGTCTTCCCGAGTCCATTGGTGACTTTCCCGACTGTCTAGCTCTATTTGATCGGGAGTTATTGACGAAAAACTCGTACGACCCTAGTGACTTCATAAATGACGTCACGCAAGGTTAACAATGCAAAAGTAAAGCATTGGACTTTGCAAGGAGTGCATGAAATCACGATACCATGTACGTGGGATAGTTTTAGATCATTCTCGGCGCCAAAATAACAGTTTTTATATTTCCCCATTGATTTATAACAGTGATGTCACGTGACCGACCTGATCTCATGTAACCTTGAAAAATTCCCAGATATACAAGTTGTGAGACCTCTGGAAGACACCATGTATGCGTCCTGTAACTTTCATCTCGGACAGCTATGGTCATTGGCGTCCAAAACAATGTCAGAACCAAACAGCCTTTTTCACCGTCGCGCTTATAGGAAAGAGGGTTGAATGAACCCTCTTTTCACTTTTTTCAGATGACTCAGACTTGAATTGAAATTTCAGTAACCCGTGATGTCACTAGGCAGCTTTACCACGCCATTTGTAAGCTCCCCTCCCGAAATCACTATTCGAAACCGTTATCGTGACGTAAAATAAATACATTTATAGAAAGAACACCTTCCTAATTTTTCGCATACTTCTTAACAATGAGCCAAATATTTTTTTAAAGAAATAAAAATTCAAAAAAATTTGGTCCCAAAGTCCAAAAAATACAAATGAAAGAAAACTCGATATGTCATATATAAAAAATAGCGTATTTTTCGAAATTTCAAAAATACACATAAATCTCTGTTTCATTGCAAGTTCAATGTTATATAACATTTGATATTTGAATAATCCGTCTTAGAGTTACAGCCCGCCAAACTTAGCGCTGCAAAGCAAGATCCAAAAATGTTATACACCATAACTCAAAAAATATTTATCTGATAAGCCTGAAATTGTTACAGGTGGATTCAGAGCCCCTGATTACCCCTGAGACCAATTCTCGTCAAATTCCGAGAGATGAGGGTGTCAAATTGGAAAAAAGTGGTACGATCTATCGTGGAATGCCCCAACTGTAGCTTTTGTAAGTGTTTCAAGAGTTCATGTTTTTTGCTCATTTTTGCTTTAACATGACCTCAGTTTGACCTCAAAAACTCCTGACCTAAGGTGACCTAAGACTTGAAATTTGGTGTGAAGGTGTTAAATTGATGCCCGGACCGTTTTCTTGCTACTCAGGAAAAACCACAGGGGGGGGGGGGGGCAAATTGCCCCCCCCCCCCAGTGGGGCGAGGGTTAAAGAACGGCGCATTACTCGGTAACCAATAAAGTTGCAGCTCTGCAGGGCTCACATGGTCTTTAGAAAGGTCACAGGTCAAAATTCGTTATGGGTCAGCTGGTCATTTTAATTCCAGGGTAGATGCCAAATCAATCAAGCTTTTGGCTTATGAGAGTAAAATCCGGCCTTGTCAGACCACTTTGATAACCTGTCTTTTATAATGCGCCTTTTAGCTGCTGCTGCTGCTGCTTTTATAGTTGGACCCCCCAGAAACTGGAGGTAAGATCTCGAGCTCGGTTTGCATTCTGGCTACTCTTATCCACCTTACTAAGTAATTGACCACTTCAACGACTCAAATAGCATCGCGCTGTCACCTCCACAGGTCCGTGTAGTCCACATTACAGCAATTTGAAGTCACATATCCCCTCGCTGTTTCAGGCTAAAGGCGTGCACAGCCACCGGCGACCCGAGGCCAAGTCGACCGCGGAGGCTCGCCGCTCAGTGGGCTCCAGCCGCCGGCAGCGGCACGGACCGACGTCCGCACCGCCACCTGGCGAGCCGTCCGGAAAACTGCTGCAGAGGGCGCTACTGGGCGGCGAGCGGCCGCCGCCGGTCCCCGTTCCCGTGCCCGTCTGCTCAGAGGGTGAGTCAATACTCGGTTCTTCGATATTTCTTATGGGAGTGGACTGAGCTTTTTAGGATGATTCTGATAGTTCTTGGAATATTACTTGTTAATCCTGTAGGATGAATGGAAAAACAATTGCCACGTTACCATATTCACTAGGCATAGGTAAATGCCTACCTAAGGACGGAATTGGTAAGCCACCGTACTTTGCAGTAACCTGTACCTGAAATTAGAATCCGGCTCGGCAAAAAAAGCTCTACAGACACATACTTTGTAGCCAGACTTTTAATTCAGTCTCCTCTGTTTCAGATTCATCGTGGACCATGTGCTCGTGTCCTCCATTCGAGTGCGTGTGCCAATGGAGCGGCTCCAGCCCGGCTCCCGCCTACCAGGAGCCGGCTCCCGCGGTGGCTCCGCCGCCCAGCTCCAACTCGGCCGACTGGATGGCCACCGACACTGCCACCTGCTGGCAGCCGACTGAAGCTGAGGTTCGGTACATCCTCCGTCCAGACTCCGAGGGCCAGCCGTATGCGAAAGGCACGTTCTCCGGCAATCGGAGTCCGTACTACGGCGAGGCGGATGCCGACGGATTCTCGGACTACATGTGGGAGATGCCACTGATGTATGGCACCGAAGCTCAGTACGGTCATTACGCCCCGGCGGCCGCGGACGAGCTAGGTGGCGCTCAGTTCGCCGGACCGATCGGCCTGCCCCCTGACGGTCAGTTTCTGGACCAGATTGATCTCTCGCAGCCGGGTGACATTTTCGCTCTAGAGCAGCCGCTGCTGAAGGCCGGTGAGGTGGTGCCGCCGTTGGAGCAGATGGCGCCGCCGGCCGAGGGCGGCTGGGCCGTGCCGCCCCCGCCCCCGCCCCCAATGGGACCTCCCACAGAGGTGGGGTACCTGGGACCGGCCGAGGCCCAGACTGGGCTGGACTGTCTGCAGGAGAGTGCAGGCCTGGCGGAGACGTTCGCCGCCAGTCAGGAGGTACTCTGCTACCCAATGGAGCAGCAGCAACAGCTCATCACTGGGTGGTGACCTTAACAGTATGACGTCACTAACTGACGTTATAAAGTGACATATACGGCGTCTTTGAGTGACGTCAGGTATTGCGAATCTTTTTGACGTCAGTCACTAGGTATGACAACGCTGGGTGGTTTTTAGGCATGGCGCCTGGGTGACGTCAGATATGACCTTTAAAATAAATGCCGTAACATCATATGTTGCAGAGCATTCGCTGACACTTTGAGGATAGTTCTCTCCGAGTGTGGCTCCGAGTATGCTCTCACTGACATGCACCCATTGCGTGCAGCATAATGGCGAAACAAAATGGCTGTTGACCGCTTGTTCGTCGTGGGTAATGTTTGCAATTTTTCCGTGTTCACTATGCACCTATACTTTCTATCTGTTGCCTTCAGTATAGTGACGCGGCGAAGCGATGTTCAGATCTCAGTGACCAGTCCCTTCAGATGCCATGCACACAACTCCACGTTGTCATCATATCTTTGTTCATCGCTCTCACAATTTGCGACTGTTTGTATTTATTGAGTGTTTGATTTGGTGTTCATGGGCATATACAACTACGCTTTCTAGAAGCCTTGTTGCATTATCTAGTCACCATCTAGTAATAGGGTTAGTGTTGTCTTTCGCACGAGTGCATGAATAGGTGCATGTGCGTGGCCGTTTGGCGTTGACGGCCTATGACACCAGGTCTCTCTTGAACGTGATGCCAGCCATTGTTCGTGATATGATGCTTTTAGCGCAGTACGCTGTTTCAATAAAATGAAAACCAAGAACAATGGAATGGCATTGTGGGAACGCTGAATGAGCAAACTAGAAAGCATCTAGAAAAGTCAGGCAGGTGCCCGCCACCACCCAAATATCAGTGTCTTATTTGCCCACTGCCGGATCCCTGGCCAGAGTCTGGCCAGAGTAACGATTTCAACTGTGAAGGTAACAAGAAGTGCTGCGCTGGAGGCTGCGGTACCCAGTGCGAGTGCGTGGATCCTGTTCTCAATCCGACGACAAAGCCGGGTCGCTGCCCTCCTCGGCCAATGTAACCTAACCGTTATACAGCTGCCATGTCTACCCGCTGCCAGACCGGTGCAAAAGCAATGATGCACTCTGCGAGGGGGTGCAGAAATGTTGTATCGGCAAGACGTGTATGGACCCCATGTGAGCTACAGAAAGAAGAACCTTATCTCGCTACGATGGTGGAATTGCGTAATTCATATGTACTTGTCGCATCGAGGGATATTGTAGGTGCACATAGACAATTTCTCTTACATATATTCCGGGTTTTCGAAAAACACAAAATTTTGGATTTATATTGAATTGCCCCAAGAAGTCAGTTTTTTGAAAAAATGCTGGGCCAAAATCCAAAATTAAAAAAACGAGATAGCCATTTCATAGACAAAGTAAAATCACGTATAACCTTATTTGTTACCTCTTGATTCCTTTAAAAATGAAGAAGTTAGCGGCGTTTGAAGTTATGCAGTTTTTGAAGCGAAAATGACGTGACGACGTCACTAACACGTCATTTTCTCAAAACATATCCGACGGATTTCGCTCAAATTTTCAGGGATCTTGTTAAACTGATGTATGATAAGGTATACTGAATGCTTGGCGTCGCTGGCGTATTGCGTTTAGTAGTTATTCGCGAGAAACGGGAGGGGGGAGGGCAGATCTGCCCTCCCCCCTCCCCCCAGCGGGGCGCGGGTTTTAAGAAATAGGTCGCTTACCTTATACCTTTTCACCATACATTTTTACGGGGAGAGGAAGCGAGCGCAGTGTTTCGTTACGGAGCGAGCGATGCGAACGGAGTCTTTCGTAGATCGTGATCCTCTCGTCAATCCGCATCGAATGATATATATGTTGACCTCGAAAGGTCAAGGTCAAAGGTTGACCTCAGGTCACGTGACCTCGAGGTCATCATGTATATCATTTGATGCGTCTTGGCGAGCTGAATACAATGAGACCATCCGCGCGGCTGTATCTTGTTCCTGTACGGAGTTATTGGCCAAAAACCTTTGGTGACCTTTGATGACGTCACATGACCTTACAGCTGCCCAACAGCAAAACAGACCTCAAGGTAGTGAAGGTTGATCGTATATGAAGTCATGTATGGGGCCATTCCGACCCGTTTTTGTGGTAAAAACAGGGAGTTGATTTTTCCCCCATTGACTTATAATGGGGAGGTCGTGAAATTGACCTGACCTTAGGTCACCGATATCAAAATTCCGAGATAAAAAATTGTAGCTACTAATGACCTTATAACATCCTGTGACTTTCAAAGGCCTCCGACATCTACTGTAGCTCTGGCACGGTGACAAAGTTGCAAAAAAGTGACTTGAGGTTGGGTCATTCAAAGTGACCTGGTGAGCTGACCTTAAAAGTTAGGAGGTTCAAACTTGCACACCATGTGTAAAATTGATGAGGGAATAGTCGTACTAAATTTCGCGGCGCATAGCTCACACTTCACACATCTTGGTTGATGATCTCAAACGGAGAAGGGAATGAGCAAGCATCACAAATTTTAATGGGACGGGCAGGAACTTCTAACCAGCAACAGAATAGAGACGATGCCACCCAATAGTCGCATGGGATCACTTTGAAGAAAAAAAGCTGAATCATGAAAACTATACCAAGTACGCTTGGCTAAAAACCGCAAGCATGCAACCAAACCCAGTAATATACCATGCTACAAATATCAGCGCTAGACATTCCAGCATTGAACCCAGTATCCACGTGCTGACTGCTGAGTCAGATCTTCACAGACACGAGGCCGACTGCAGTGCACGTGTGGAATGGAGTGGGCCACCAGAACTCAGCACGCCCTGTCTCAGCCGTCGGAGCTGCGCCCGGCTCAGCACAGGGCACAGGGCCAACCGGCCAGCGAGTGTGTCGTCGGCGGCGAACGCGGTCGGGAGAGAGAGACAGAGAGGGAGTCGGAACAGTGACGCGGCGTGCTACGGAAGGTGTGCAGGCTGTGCAGTGGGTGTGAGGATCGTCGCTCCACAGAACAATGTAGGTGCCCGCTCCTTTGCCATGGTCTACCTGAGACAGCCTTTCATGTGTACTTTTATGGACGCCGTGGAGGTTTTACAGGGACGAGCTGGACTTTCCGGGTTCTAAGTGTTGACAGAAGAACATCACAGGGCTAATAATGTTACAGTTCACCATATGTATAACATGCATGCCAATGTTATCATAGTCTATCATTATTCATTAGTGACTACTCATGAAATTAACTTTTTTGACATAGGTCTGTGATAGCTTTTTTCTTTAGCTGAAAAAAATAACTAACTATTTTCAGCCCAGCGTGCGATTACACCAGCACCACTGAACTGTGTAAATACTGCCAGTAGGACGGCCGACCTTATTGTAAGTCGATGAACTACCAATGCCATGGTGATTGACCATCTATTGTTATGTGCATGTGTGTACGTTACGGCTTGCGTATGAACGTGCAAAGGTACATGCCATTGTGTTACGTGCGTTCGTGCTGGCTTCCGATCGCTTATTAAAGGAAATAGTTCACTTTTAACATGGGGTTTGGAGCTGGAATAGCAGTTTTGTTGCTTGCGCTGAGACTAGCACAAATCAGAAGCTTTTACGGCCCAACGATCACCCTAGACGAAGATATTCCATTTTTCGTTCCGAAAAGAGTGCCTTGCAGAGGAATGCGTGCCTTGCTGAGGAATGCAGTCACGTCATCGTCAGCCAATCAGAATGCTGCTTACAGCCGATGGGTTTGTCCTACGCAATATGATTGGTCAACGCGTAATAAGCTTCCGCGTCAAACATTATTTTATATAGAATATAGTTCTTCTTATACTAAAATATAGAAAATAATCCTTTTTACAAAAACGTTTTGTTTTATTTTCTGATCATTTTGAGCATAAAAAACATAAATCCATAGCAAAATACTAATTTCAGGAAAGTGAACTATTTCCTTTAAGTTCAAACATTTTTTTTTGTCCTCCATATGTCAATCTATATCTCTCTGTTTCGTTTCATTTTATAAATGAGTCTCCTTTTTTCTCAGAAACGGCTTAAGTTTTATTTTCAAATTTATTCAATATATGTTTGAAGCATGTGTTATGCGCCAATATTACAGCATACAATACTACATACATTGTTCGATTTCATAAACCAAGAGCTCAATTCAGCGACAACTACACATGCATGCATATATGACTTACAATTAAAGGAGTTGGATCTTATGCGTAATGCAAAAACACATGCAAGAAAAGTAGAAACTACCTGAAGGCTGCACCTTGTTTCCAAGAAAGTAGCCTTCACGTCAACAGTCTGTAATAACAACAAGGTAAATTTGTGTGTCTGGGGCACGAACGGGCCAAACAATTCCCGGAGAGCTTCCAAAGGTACTGCCTCATAGGCCGTCAACAGACAACGGCGGAATTCGTAGATACGGGAGGAGTCGACCAAACAATTTACAGGAGCAGTGCCCTATAAACGACGCTCTTTTTCTAAATCTACGTTGGTGGTTAACCGGCGAACACCTGTCTCGTGTGGGGTAGGCGAAAGACGTATACTGTATAGGCGAGCTCAATTGCACTCTCTGCGATATTGGCAAGGAATATCGTAGTTGAGAGAAAGATGTTAGGCGACTCTATTCTTGAAGGCACCATGGGAAGTAAATACAAATGCAACGTGAATTTCAACGTCCAAAGTTACAAACCAAGTATCCAACGATAGGCCCTGTTCTGCAAATAGGTGAATAGTTGTGATTTTTTATATGATATTGTGTTAGAAAGCGTTTCCAGCTTACATTATCACAGGCTTACTAAATTATCCCTTATCATTCATCCATCGCACAAATCATCAAACTTTACGGCTATCTCACACGTGTTCTCCATTCCGTGCGTGTATTGGCCCGTGCAGTTGCACATGCAGCGCTAGTTCGGCGCCCGGCGCCCCAGTTCGGTGCCCCGGCGCCCCAGTTCAGTGCCCCGCGGCGTCCCAGTTCGGTGCGTCCGTTCGTGCCTCGTTCAGAGAGACGGGGCCCGTGCGCGCTGTCGGTGGCTCCCCTGGACGTCAATCACCTGCTGTCGAAATATACCGCGGCGCAGAGACGGACTGACAGACTGACGGCGGACGCCGCGAGAGGGGGAGGTTGGGGGGGGGGGACTAGGGGGAGGGGGTTAGGAGGAGGGCTAGGATTTTGATTGGTGAATACCTGAAGGAGCGTAGTGGAACGTTTCGCGGGAATCTGATGAAGTGGGGTGATAAAAAGGGATGTTAGCTAGCAAGGATAGCAAGGATAAGTCATGTAAAACCCGAGTGGCTCACTCGAGAGTCCCTCTGCGCCCACTGTGTCACAGGCTCTCTCTGTAAGTACACTGTCGACCACGCAGTGGGACTGGGCAGCACTGCGCTGGCCAGGGGCGCCGCATTGTTGGGCGTCGTGGACAGGGGCGTCGGCCAGAATGGGCTCCCGACCGCGGTCACTGCCAAGTATCATGTCGCCGGATGATGAAGCGGTCGGCTAAGAGCCCGGTCCGTGCTGCCAGTGGAGCACGGCTGCACAAAGACTTGAGACACCGCATTTGGCGGCCAAACTGATGCAATGCCTGTGTTCTGAGTGACCGGAAGGTGCACTCTTTTATAGAGTACCATTGAGAATTTCAGAAAACATTTTTTACATGTGGCAAAGTGCATCTGATAGATTGATACCAGACACCAATACAATTGCTTGTTCACTACATTGGCTGATGGACGGGTGCAATTTTGTTTTGTTTTCGGAAAACGGTCGCTGATGCGTGGGGTTCTGACTTCTGAGTGTCATTGACAGTTCGGGCGATCCAACTCAGCAGAATTTGTCATCTCTTGGTGACGCGCCAGCACTTAATGACCGGAGCCGCGAAAATTGTTTATTTGCGGAAAGCGCCAACTGTCGCTGCGCAATCCATCACAGGCCATGTCTCACCTGTATTTCGAGTCGGGCACGACAATCCTTTTTGCCAACAACCGGTGAAGCTTGCAGGAATATATTCTTTGGTATAACGACGTTTATGAAATAAATAGTGGACTCATTTATACAAGTTTTGAAGAGATTGTCATGAGGTGGTCGTCGTTTCCTTTGTAGGGATCGATTTCGAAGTGAATAATCAATAATCACCCCTTGCAAGCTCAGGTCTGATCAATGCTCTTAATTGGTTAGGTTGCATGACGCATGTGTAGGTTGAAGTTCTTTCATGAAAACTTTTTCTAGAATTCAAATGGACTTTATGTAAAGCTAAGTCCTGTGATCTGAGGATTTTGAGCTGATATATGAAATATTTTATGAAGAGCAGGTGCAACCATAATGCACGCGAAAAGTCATGATAAAGGCATGGATGAGATAATAATGATGCCGGCGATAATGCCGGCGATAATAATAATGAGCCGGCGAGGGTTAAGAGGCTAAGAAATCGGTAAAAGGTCGGTATTTTCCTGATTTTCCCAAGTTGGTTTGGTTTCGGTATTTCTCCACGGTTTTGGTTGGTATTTGGTTTGGTATCGGTATTCCGATTTTCCGTAATTGACATCACTAGTATATGATCCGATGACGTGACGTGACGTTTCTAACGTCTCATAACTAACAGCTTCCGTTGACCTATTATGCTCGTCCAGCTGTGCTGGTTGGATGTTGACAAGTAGGATACAATTCAGCTTTAGACACCAAGTCGCACCAAACGCGAGTCACTGCAAGGTACAGGTCTCGCGGGTTTTAGCGGTAGGTTTTGCACCTAGAAAATTTAGTGTACTTCAGGCTATATCTTCGTCGTCTTAAGCTTAAGTGTTGAAGATGCGATCGACTTGTTGGGTAACAAGCCGGCCATGATCGTGTAAAATGGCTTCATCGTAGATCGATTAGCTTCTGAGGTATAACCGGAAATGTAAAAGTGCAAAACCTACCGCTTAATCTCGCGAGAGCCGTACCATGGGCCAGAGATCCTCTACCCGACGACCTGGATGTCGTCCCAGAACTGTCACATTTCTCGCGGCCAGACGGTGGTCGTCCCTGCCGACAGTCAAGTTCAGCCGGCACACCAGCACCACTGCCGCTGCCACCGGCGCGCCGGCGTCCCCCTGACCCCCATTCGGTTTATTCCTGTCGCGCGCGGCGGTGCCGGGGCCGGACTTGCTACTGCCGCGTCGGTATCGCCGCGCCGCGCCGCAGCCGGCACACTGGCACTCGGCCAGCGTTACACATAAAACGAAAACACAGCCGCGCCGCTCCGGTAAACACAACTATTCTGGCGGCATTCGTGGCTCGCGGCAGAGCGAGGAAATGACGTCACTGAGGCCTGTCTGCTGACGTGGCCGGCAGGCTCAACTGCTTGGTCACATATGGCGGGCGAATTGAGGGAGAAACGCCCACCGACTTGCCTGTTCTTACGAACTCATAAGCAAGGCCGGTGCGGCTTATTATAGTGTGCTGTGGTGTTCTGGATATAATTTCTACGCATTTTTTCATCTCCTTTAAGGCATCTTTCTGCATTAAATGACACAATTTTATCTCGATTTTTGACATCATCTCATGCAACCAAGGTTGAAGCCTGAAGGTTTCATTTAGTGGTCACACCTCCAGCAACTGCACCAACTCACACCCATAGTGGAGAGGGAGCCCAGAAAAGAGTTCCGTGCTGAGCATGATGACACTGATGGCGACTGATTCCAGCGCAAAACAGTCTTTACATGTCTTCCTGTTCCTGATAAAATCAAATGACCTAGATAACTTTAGGGCTGACATTCGTGATTATGTATTTCTCATACACCTTCAGATTTGTTATTGCATCGAAGGCTAGGCATGATCAGAAAGTTCAAATGTTGGAACTGTCTGCCTTTTTCAGCTTCCAGTCACTATCAGAATCAATGGCGTTCTCAAGATCTTCGTACTTTCCGAGGCAAGAGCATGCAATGAGTAGATTTTTGTCCTATGAATTCGAATGGCTTCGTTTGACGACACGTCTGTTTAACCCGCGCCCTGCTGGGGGGGGGGGGGTGTTTGAACACCCCCCCTTGTGGTTTTTCGCGAATATCTCAAAAACGGCGGCGCGGAGCGCCGCCATTTTTGGTACACCTTATCATGCATCAATTCTACACATGTTGTGAAAATTTCAGACCAAGGTCATTCAAGGTCAGGTCACCAGGTCACTTGAAGTGACCTCACCTCATAAAAAGTTTCAATGTCTGTCATAGCTACACCGAGTGACCGATCGCTTTGAAACTTTCAGCGATTGCTAAGAGCAATAGTATGTACAAAATGTATATCTCAGAATTTTGATATCGATGACCTAAGGTCAGGTCAATTTTGCGACCTCCCCATTATAAGTCAATGGGAGAAAATTGAAATGCGCCTCTTTTGGACGAAAGACATTATAAACACTCCCAAACACTGAATTACAAGTGGTTTAGACACACTGAACATGAAAATGGTGTTCGTGACCCCTGTTTATGCCCTGAGGTCATCTTAGGTCACGAATGGTATCTAACAGTTTTTCGCAAATAACTTTTGATAGAGGCATGCTAGAGCGATGAAAACGCCTTAGATGTGTTCAGCTCGACGATACGGATCGACTGATATGCAACATGACCCTTTCCGGTCAGGTCATGACCTTGACCTGAGGTCAAATTTTCAAGTTGACCTTTCAAGGTCAAGTTATAGTTCATTCGATGCGTCTTGACGAGAGAAACACGATGCCGGTAAGAGTAAGCTCGTACAATGCTTGGGTCAAAAGTTATTGCAGAAAAACTGTTTCCGAAAAAAATCGGCTATTTTTGCAGTTTTTGCCCCCTGCAGGCAAAACCGTTGACGTTAGGTCAAATCTGAGAGAATTACTCAGAAAGGGCGTTAATAGGGCTATCGAATGCGCTTTTCCGCGGCGCTGTAGCTCTATTGGTTCCCGAGTTATGCGTTGGCTTCTTGGAAATTGTCGACATTCGACCTGGAAATCGGCGAAATTTTGCCTTCAATGACCTCTGGTGACCTGACCTTTGACCTGACCAAAAAATTGACCGAAGTGATTTCCTCATTATTTTTGACGCTCTTTCGAACGCCGCCTTCCGCGTATCGCTACGTGGCCCAGGAGCCGAGTTAGAAGGGGGGGTGTTCAAACACCCCCCCCCCAGCAGGGCGTGGAAATCCAGGACCCCCAGCCGGGCGCGGGTTAAAGCATATGTGTGGTTGTTCAGTGTATGTATATGCGATTGTACAGTTGTAGTAGTCAGTTTAGTAGCCTATGTCGTGTGCGTAATTAAGTAATTACTCAAGCCAATTAGCCGTTGACGTAGGCCTAGCTTCTTCCCAGCTCGTAGTCGGAAATCGGAATCATGTCTTTTGAAAATGCACAATAGCGCATTACAGTGCTCCCAGTATTTGTGTGTGCGTCTCATGTCTTTTTTTTTGCCCGTTGCCTCAATAATCTCGGTTCGAAACTGTATGATATTTACATTTAGCATGCTACGATATGCCGCACATAATGTCTGAAGGAAAGACTTTAGACGCGACTTGTATGCTTGATTAGGATTACTTCCGAGTTCCGAGCTAAGCCAATTAGTAAAATCAGTACGTCTTAGACTGCGATCAGCATAGCTGGCTTAACCGGCATTTAATGAGGCACCTCTCCACTACTTCACGCTGATTCATTTTCCCTCACAGTCTAATTATAGTCACGATAAGCTGCACGTCAAAGGCCACCGACTGTTCTCAGAGCAGCACCCTGAGTTGGCGTTCTCGTCAGACAGCTGCACACTGGCAGCCCTGCTGAGCCATGGCCTCTCCTGACTCAGAGGCAGCTCTCGTTTTTGCCACCCGGTGGGACCTGTGGCCTCTATTCTGGGTGACAGGTCCTCCGGGCCGGGCGCGGGCAGTCAGAGGAGAGGGGTCGGTCGTTCGGTGACGTTGGCGGATTGGCCGTGGCCGTCGCCAGCCCGCGGTCATCGGTCGAGCCATCAGTTACGAGGTGTTCACGCGCCCCGCGACGGCCCAACGAGCGAGCTGCGCATCCCTGAGTGACGTCAGAGCGCGAGCTGGCCGCCGCGGGGGCGCTGTGTCAGCTGACAGCGGTACGCTGCGTCAGCTGACAGCGGTACACTGTGTCAGCTGACAGCAGTACCTGACAGAGGCGCTGAGCCGCCGAGCCTAGTCCCTGTCTGGTCAACGCGCGTACATACATAAGACCGCATGTCTGCATGTTGCAGGTGTCTGTCGCGTTTTCTTGCAGAGTTTGATGAGTTTTTAATGCGTCATCCTGCCTGCTCTGCTTGTAGCCCGCTGAATCATTCCACCATTATACCGAAACCCAATAGCATTGTTCAGTGTACGCCCTAGCCAATTTGGAATGTTTTCGCTCGGGATATCAAAACTAAGGGGCACTTAGTTTCTGTTTGTGAACCGTAGCGCAACTGTTACTGATTAGCGTCGTTAACAGGTAACGGCGCATTAACGTGTGACAGTACGTGTATCAGACCGTCAACGTGTTAACGTGCCAAACGTTTGACGTGAACCATAACGAATTCCTGATTTAACCCGATGGCGCCACGTTTTTCCCAGGACGTCTATCAACAGCTATCGTTCGAGGTACTCGAACACGCCGGTGATTGACCCCGAGCCGAGGAAGAGAAATGCTCCGGAGAAGAAATTACCCGTGAAACCGGAGGAATCCAGCTCCGAGGAGGAAACATCCTCTGAGGAATCGGAGGAGAGCTCATCAGAGGAAGAAACACAAACGAAAAAGGGGACAGATCGGTCAGCGACCAAGGCAAAGAGCAGCTCCTCTGAAGAGGAGACAAGCAGTGAAGAAGAGGAATCCAGTGAAGAAGAAGAGCAAGAGAAGAAAAAGCCAAACAACCACACCACCAATCCTACCACTCCTCCTCAAACGAACGGCACCACCGCGTCTTCCTCCGGCGAGTCCTCCGACGACGAGGAGTCCTCAGAGGACTCCTCCTCTGGCTCAGGACACCGCGAGGCGGCTCCGGTCCGGCGCCGGCCGGGCACCGCCGAGATGTCCGCCTCGGGAGAGGACCCGGTGCCCTGGCGGCGCCCGAAGCTGCGCCGCGTGGAGAGGAAGAGCAGCGTGGTGCGCCAGCCGTCCACCGAGCTTCCTGAGTGGGCGGAGGACGCCAAGAAGCGGCTCGGAGACGTGCCACTGCCGCTGCTGAAGCACCAGGACACCACTGAGAGGTCCGTGTTACAGCCGCTGCTGTGCTCCTCGCGCTTCGCTTATCGCGCTTTGCATCACGCCTTCCCGGAATGGTGAAACATACCTGCTATTTGCCGTGCTACATGCACAAAGCTACGCATTTTGAATAACCCCTGGATGTAACTCAGCGCTCGCAATCAGCCATCGTGGCCCGGTTTTAGTTTTCTTGTCACTGATTCGTTGCCATGAAGAAGACGAACAGCCTGGAGTTGAGCCATATTATTCTAACTTTGTTTATGTCGACGTCAGTAAGCTTAGTCAGCGTGGCAGATTGCTGTTGCCTGCTACTCGTCTGAACTAGATCGATGATTTGTTGTTGCATCAGTATTTTTAGCCGATTACGTGCTCAACGTCTGAATCAAAATCTCATAGTACGTAAATATCATCCCACTTCCCAAGTTCACTGATTAGCGATTTATATTCATTTGTGTTTTTCCAGTGCTCAGCCACAGGTGTAAATTAACCCGCGAGTTGCTGGGGGGGGGCGTTAAACGCCCCCACTTTTTTCGCCGGGCCATAGCATAAAAACGGCGCGCCGCAGGCGCGCCAAATTTTGGGTACCTGTAGGGAATTGATTGAAGTTTATCGTGACAAAGTTTCAAAAAAATCGGTTGGAAAATTTTTGAGATATCGAGATTTTAGTGACGTCATGATTTCTGAGTTTTCGACCAAAAACGGCATATGTTCAAAAAATCATATAAAATCACAGAATAGACATACAGACATGCCGTAAACGCCATTAGACTGCCAATACCATGATCATCCAAATGGCTATCTTCGATTATTGATTATCGTTCCGTATTTTCCATAATCTTGAACTGAATCTTGGCAATTTTTCGTGACTACTTCACGACCATGATTCATGCATTTCTTAAATTGAACTTTTTGAGCCAAACACGTACACATATGATAAAATGAATGTCACCATCGTGTTCTACGCCCCAAATTACCCATAAAACATGTGTCACAGGCTGCGAATATCAGTTTTGATTTTCGGGGATATGTGCCTACCCGGTTGACCTGACCTTGACCCTGACCTATGATTGACTGACCCCTACATGGAGCTGACACTCTTGTAGGCCTTATATGATGGATTGTGCACCGTTTTGACAGAGTTTATGACGAGAGGTGCCCATTGCGAAGTCCTGAAGTCCATGCTACTGAAAGCCCGATTTCAGGTGTTTGACCTGACCTTGACCCGACCTGTGACCTCAAAGTTCAACTTTAAAGTACTCATCTGAAGCGTCTCGTCGCGCTCTTTCGTTTGCCGCCGCGTGCGTTTCGCTGCGCCTATTGGTTCTCGAGTTATCGGCTGGGGGCGTTTAACGCCCCCCCCCCCCCCAGCAAACGGTGGGTGGCGAAATACCCCAGCAACTGCCGGGTTAACCCATTAACGCCCAGCGGTACCAAAAGGTACCAACGCACATTTTGGTTTGCTGCGTTGAGACCACACGTTTTTCGCCGGATAGATTTTGTCATCGGATAATGACCTCCTTTCCGGATATGCTGTTGGGTATAAATAACGTGCTGATACGAAGAGCTTCGTGTGAGGTGCAGAAAAGCTCGGAGTGTTTCGAGGCGCCGCAGTCATGGGCTGACGTTGGGAGATAAAAACGTTTGTGGTTGCTTGTCTGTAAATATTTTTTTAGCCAAAGTGTGTTTACAATAAAGATGAAGAACTCGCAGCTGCAGTTAAGCAGAAAATCAGATGTTTCGTCATGAATCCTGGCGTTCCTAGGGGCAGAATTTTTGTTGGTACCTTTTGGTACCACTGGGCGGTAGGCTAAGCGTTTTTTCGCAATTACATGCGTGTGCGGTCTTTGCAGAGGGGAAACAACGCTCAACGGAGTGATGCGGACAAATTGTTATTTGGGGCGCCATCCCTCAAGGGGACGCCATCGCCCGAGGGAATTGGGTGCGTAAGAGGGGCGCCTTTGAGGCCATAAGGGCGCCTATATGCGAAAGAAGGGCACCTATGAAGTTTTTAGGGGCGCCTCAATGCAAATGAGGATGCCCATAAGGGCACCTGCATGCGAAAGAGGGGCACCTGTGAAGCCTATAGGAATGCCTCTGAGGCCCATGACGCCCATAAGTAGAGGCGCCCACATGCAAAAGGGGCGCCCTTGAACGCCATAATGGAGCTTCCATGCGAAAGATCGGTCCCTGCATCCCAAAGATGGCCACGCCTCTGAGGCCTATGGAAAGAGGAAGGAGCGCCTGTGAAGCCCATAGGCGCCTGTGGGCGCCTCACTGGGAACGAGGGGCGCCTGTAAGGTCTACAGAGTCGCTTTTGATGCCCATAGGGGCGCCTACATGCGAAAGAGGGGCGCCTATGAAAGTTATGGGGCGTCTTCATGCGAAAAAGGGGTGCCTATGTAGGTTGAAGGTCGTTTGTGTAACGTTTCTCAGGGGTGATGCGCCCTTTGCGGCAAGAGGTCGGAGAGGGGAGCGCCTTCGTCGCCACCAAAGAAGCTGGAGCATTCATTGCTGATTGGTCATTCACTGCTAACGTGACGCATGGATGTTGGATAGGATGCTTTGCCCTATAATCGCTGGTATTATTGCGGGTACCCCTGTGGAGCAACCATGTGGTTAAGGCCCCAAATGAATTTTGCTTGGGGGAGGGGAAGGGGCACGGTTTTGAGATAGTCCTGTTGTTTAGGAAGGCTGTTGCTGTTGTTCAGGAATAGGAAGGCTATTGCTGTTGTTCAGGAAGAAATGGGTAACGGCGTCATATCCCAGTGCAGTTTGTGCGGTAATACACCTACGGAGGAAATATTGATGCGGATGGTATTGACAGACGAGTTCCTGCAGACCTGCTGCTTGGTCAGTGGTACGTACACCTGAGAATGGGATGCATACCTACACCGCGACGGATTCGGACACTGGATTAGAGCTGGCCCTACCACGAAGGCAAAGCGTCTGCAAAGTACGTGGTTGGCACTAAAGTCATCTGTGGCAAGTGGCGAGTGGCGCTCTGCTCGGAGACGTACTTACATGGAGAGAAGCATCACGGCTAAAAGTAAGACCTATATTGACCAGGGTATGCGTGTTGACTGCTGCAGCGTGTGCCTCGGCGCAAGCAGCACTGCACGATCCGGTTGAAGTCCATTTTGGAGATCTGTCTCGTTTGGTTGCTGAATTAGATTTGGAAGGGTCTTGCTGTGCATGAACCGTAACCACAAACTCTGCTGGCTCTTGATCTATGGGTTTCAAGTTTGTTTTCATAGTTTTGAAAGATATTATAGAGTAGTTGCTGGTTCAGAACATTCAGAAAACTGTTAGTTTTGTCATTTGTATAGAAATATTTGTGCATTTTAGGAAAATAAACGACCCTGCAAGCCTTGAAACCTGGGCTGCGGAGTCGGAGTCGGAGTCAGTCGGAGTCGATATCTCTAGCCGAGGTCGGAGTCAAAGTCGGAGTCGATTGTGGAAGCCGGAGCCGGAGTTCGAGTCACCGAAAATCCCGCGACTCCGCGCAAATGCCAGGGCTGCGAACATGGAGTCGGGGTTAGAGTCGGTCAGAGTCGACAGCCATACCTGGAGTCGGAGTCGGAGTCGGAGGTGATAAGTGAAAGTCGGAATTGGAGTCAGAGTCAGAGTCACCGAAAATCCATCGACTCCGCATCCTTGCTTGAAACAGTAGGGGAGAGCGGGGAGAGTTGTATCATGTCCAAGTTGTATCAGGGCGAATTGTGCCAAACTTATCCAATGGATGGCGCTCGCGATACGACCAGCCGACGAGGTTTTCCGGGCGCCATCTTTCCCTGTTCTGTCGTGTGGCTGAGTGGACGCGTCTCGAGGTGAGAGCCGATTTTATGTTTTTTTTAATGTCATTCTAAAAAAATAAGTTGCAAGAAAATGTGTGTTTTGGGCATTTAGATGTGCACGAATTTGAAAGGTCTCCGTAGCGGTGGTGAGGGTAGGTTCTAAGGCTGCGTGAGTGAAAGCGGATTTCTCCAGCTGTCTGCTGTTTTTTTAGCACGAGGATGTTTTTTCCAAGATGGCGGCTAGGTACATGTTGTATCAGAGCCGGGTGGGGTATGTTGTAACATGTATGTATGTATGTATGTATGCATGGGTATGTTGCTTTTGATCGCGAAAGCTAAGCCCTGGCTCGCGTTTGTAGGTAGCTAGTCAATGCCCGTTCCATTTCGGCACAATGTGTTGGCTTCTTTGCTCTTAACGGGCCACTTTTGCGTCTAGTCTGTTGATGTTTCGTTCGGATTGCATTAACCTAAGTTTGGTCTAATAAAGTGAAGCCTTTGAGCATACCTATGCATTGTATTAACCCCATTTAATGTTGTTGTTATGTTCAAAACCAGTAGCAAGCACACTCCCTGAAACGTGAAAAAGTGATACAAATTACCCCACCATGTGATACAACTCACCCAAGCCATGGGGCAAGTTGTATCAAAAACATTGTTCTATTCGGCAGACCGTAGAAGAAAAACTGGTAGAGGTAGCGGAAAAGTTACTTTGCACAAAAAAGCAGAAGAATCAAGGAAGTGGATAGTATGGAAATAATGAGTTTATCACGGATAGTTACGAGGTTATGGGTCTCGGAGTAAAAACTGATACAACCCACCCCACTCTCCCCTACAGTTCACTAGACCGACCCACCACCATGAATAATAGCATCGATCTTTATGGCAGTTAGGCATAGCATGTCAGTAATGACGTCATAATCTGACAACTTGGAAAACATCAGAGGCGAGTGTTTGCCATAATGTTGCCGATGAGTATGTCGTCTAATATTCTAATTTTCACGAATGAGTTGCAAAGTCTTCTTGGCAAACATATCTTGTATGCTGCTAAAATGCATGTTTTTGCGAAAAAATGATGTCACCAACGCCCAGTGGTACCAAAAGGTACCACTTCAAAAAAGGATATTTCTAGATTTCGCACATTTACCAAACTCACATGGTACTCTTAGGGGTCCATTTACTCCAATTCAGCAAATGGGCACCCGTGTGCGTTCGCTGGGGAATTACGGGCGTTAATGGGTTAATTCAGAATGATGTGCTTGTTAGTTGTTAAAAACATCCCAGATGTTTTGTAAGATAAGACGGTGTAACTAGTTGCGATGGACTGTGAACCTATCACCGTATGTAGTTTGCGAATGCTTTGGTGTCTAGCTCGCAGTAATGTACATAGCACCTGTAGGAAGTTAGGTCCGCCTGCTGTGCTGGTGTGCCGCGCTGCAGTAGACTGACCTATCCGACTGGTGGCGGCCAACCGTTTGACAGCAGCAGTCGACCCGACTGGGCCGAACGAAAGGTCGATGTCGAGCGCCTCGAGGAGCTGGAGAGAAAGCGGAGCCAGGAGAAGCCGCCGACGAACGTCTCACAACCCGAGTGGAGCGGTCGACGTCTGGATGCCGCGACCCTGGGAAAGCTGGAGCGTCACAACCGACTGGACAAAATGGCCAGCTTCGACCGGGCGCCGCCCGAGTGGGCCGAGCGCAGCGCCTCTATCGGTGAGTTGATATACTAACACCTGACGTGTGTCTGCCGTCTGTCCTGACAGGTCGCGCATCGGGGAGGAAGGCGATGAAGATGGAGAGGATGATGATGAAGACCAAGAGGAGTCAGTCTTCACTGACAAGGTGGACTGGATGAGGGAGAAGATGCTGAGAGACGCGGCCGGTAGGAAGCCGCCGCCGCCACCGCCGCCCCCGCCGCCGCCCCCGCCGCCAGCTCCTGCTGGTGATGAGTCGGGGAGCTCTAGCGGAAGTGGCTCGGAAGAGGACAGTGATGAGGAAGAGGAGGAAGAGGACGAGGGAGATGAGCAAGGTTGTTACATGAAGCTATAGAACTGCGATCCGATCCAACCCTTTTAGAAGACAATGTTGAATGTGCGCAGAACAGAGAAAATCGTAGCAGAACCCAAGTCAAGCATGGATCGAAACATTCGTAGAAGTAGCTTGACGGACTTGACTTTTGAATGTATTGATGCGGAATGGTCACCCATTTTATTATCGGTAGTATTGTTACACCCAGGACACCTGTACCAAACCACCTTACTAGCAATGTAAAGTCCAATGACACCACGCTAATGGGTTTTTGACACCAATATCCCCGTGAAGACAGTCGCGCAGATGGTATGGAACCGTAGTAATTGAGTGCGTATGTGTAAATGACTATATTTACGTAACCAGGGCCTCGGCTAACATGTTAACTGGTGGGCCAAATGGCCCACCAGTGACCCGAAATGGCCCACCAGCCTCAAAGATTTGGCCCACCAGTAATTTTCCGAAAAATCTAAGTTTCCAAATTTCCACATTTCAAATTGAATTAGCAGATCTTATCGTACATTTTCAGACTGTAAAGTAGCCATCGGTGAAACATATTCTTGTGAAAAAATTCAACCTATTGTTTGCAATATCCTCTTGGGGTAAAAAGTGAACTATAGTGGACTAAGTGGACTAAGCCTCGGTCACACTTCACCGGATTGGACCAATGGACGAGAAACGGACGGCGTCCGGTGATGTCCGGGGGATGTCCGTTCGTTTCCGTTGGACGTCCGTTTCTCATCCGTTCATATCCGTTCCATGTCCGGTGGTGTCCGGTGTGCTCAACCGGACACCACCGGACATGGAACGGATATTAACGGATGACAAACGGACGTCCAACGGAAACAAACGGACATCACCGGACGCTGACAGTTCTCGTCTGTTTCTCGTCCGTTGGTCCAATCCGGTGAAGTGTGACCGAGGCTTTAAATTTTATGCAATAATCGCGAAAGACCTCTGCCTCTGTCAATTACAGATAGTGTCGGCGGCTTCCAGCCGATCGAGGTCTGCGAGAGTTCTTGCAAGCTTTCCGATCGATCGAGTGGTTGCAGTCACATAAGCATCTGCCGCAGACCAGTCGGTTACAAGAAAAACTACAAATAAAGAACAGACCAGTTCAGACGGTCGGGGATAAGCCTAGGCGAGCGATATCAGACGGCTCGCCGATAGACACGATATAAGCCAGAGTCAAACTAGAGGTAGTGTCGGCGACTTCCAGCCGATTGAAGTCTGCAAGCGATATTATGCGTCTTCACGACCGGTATGATGCTTGCAGTCACACATCTGACCAGTTGGACGAATTTCGAACCGTCCACAGTCAGCGTTCCAAAAATTTCTCATTTGGGCTGAAGATGACACTCAAGAATAAGAATGGATAATTTTCCACTCTCGCATTTTGGGTGGCTCGAATTTTCCACTCAGACACCCAAGAGAAATCTGAAGTTTGGGACACTGTAATCACCAGAAGTGAACGTGTACATAACTTAGTTTTTTTTAAAGAAAATACCAGGGTTGCGCAGTGCGCTTGGGCTTTTGAGTCAATTATTTTCCATACGACACCAATAGGCTTAATGATCATTTTCAGAGATGTTGGGGTTGCTGCTACAACCCCCTTTTGGGGTTCCTGCTACAACCCATTTTATATATAAAGTTGCACTCGTGCTGTTCATAATTCCTCCCGATCCACCCAAGAACGCCCGATCCCATCCGACCGCTTCCGAATCTCCGACTAGTCGGCGAACGATCCACTCACGGCCTAACGTAACAGTGAATTAATGTGTTGTACCTAACTATGTCTCGCAGCCTTCCCCAGCAGCCTTCCCAGTCATCGTTGCGACCATCTTCATCTTTATTCATCTTCACCCATTTGACTCATTTCTGTATACCTGCACACTCCGCGCTCACATCACATTAGATGATACTGTCTTTTTACGAAAACCGCCCTGGATACCGACGCCACACAAGCCCTGAAGTCATGCGGTACAGTATAACTTCAGGCGCTGAACGCTAGTGCCATCTAGCGACTGGAATTAGAACTACCAATGCGAAGTGCATATGCAAACGAAGCAGCGCGCAAACAACCAAATGTATTATTGTAACTCCCCTCCCCCCTCTCCCTCCCTTGCATCCCCCACACACACACACTCCTCCCTCGTGTAGCTATCGTGTGTGCTTTTGTTGACCGTGTAGCCATAAGATTAGCTTTGCCTACGTAAGGAGACAGTTTCACTCAGTCTTGACCGAATGATTTTTAGAGCATACTCGTATGCCCATTCCGAGTGCGCATTTAGTAAACTGTAGAAAATAGTCCATGATCAGGATCTCGCTTGCACTGCTTAGCACGCGTTTTGTATGGCCCCATACAAATACCATGTTGCGAGGCTGTTCTGACCCAAACTGTTGCAGATTTCAGCAAGCTGAAACAATTGGAGGACAAATCGAAGCCCGTTGAGCCAGCACCGGAGGCCAAGGCGCCATGGGAATCCGTGAAGCTGGTGCCCCCTCCGCCCCCTCCGCCCCCTCCTCCTCCCCCGCCCCCTGGCAGACCGCCGCCACCGCCAGGTATATGGGCAGACATGTGGTCCGTCATTGGTGCCTAAAATACTAATACAACCTTTGAGTAACCTTTACCACCTCATTTCGTCGTTGACTCTACACATTAACATGAAAAGGCTAGTAAGACAGTCGGTTGTAAATCTGCAGTAATATAGCTTCGGTTCGTCTATTTTTCCCTCCTATTTTTGAAGGTAAAATTAACTATTTAACATTTTTCAATCTAATAGGGGAAGTTGGGGCAATGCCGGAGTTGGGGCAAAGCCGAAATTCGAGATATTTCTAAAACCGTACGACATGGATGCCACGTCTCAGTGATGCTCTGAAGCTTAAGTGACTACAATTATCGCATGTTTGTTACGAGTCGTCATTTGGAATACTTCGGCTGTGAGGGCGCCAAAAGCGTTTTCAAGGTACGTTTCCCTTGTACTACATGCGCCTTTGAAGCTGCATTTCTTACTCATTATGCTACCGTTTGTCTGGCAAATTCGGTCAAGTAATCTTCAGCATGTCTTTGCATAAGTGTGCTGCCTATTTGAAATTTATACAGCACGTTTAAAAGTTATGGGCCTGCAAATGAAAGTATGGCTGGCTGGGGTAATGCCGAAAACGTGCAATTACGCACGTTAAAGCACGCTAGGTGGACTTTACTGCTGTAGAATAGCAACGCGTATTTTTAGTCAAACAAATTACACTTTCAACCGGCACAACGGCCTGTTGCCTGTAAGGAATAATTTACCTGGCATTTTCTTATTATATCACACAATTATAACTTCCAGTGTGCACCAAGCGTCCTCAAGCTCTTAAAACGCGTGTCAGCTTTGATGAATTTTGGATAAAGTTTGAGATAAATTGGCAAAACATCAATGTCGGCATTCCTTGTAGATCATTTATCCCATTTTCGGCTTTCCCCGCAGTCCGGGGCAACGCCGAAAAAGTCAGTTGTTTGATATTTTTAGTTTTTGCGCTTAACGGTATGCGAATTCATCAAATGCGCCTGGTATGTTTGAAAGACAAAAGACTGGCCTCTCGAATGACGCCAACAAGAATAGCTTATGTTGTCTACCTTGCGTGCTACAGGCGTCAGAAAAAAAGTATTCGGCGTTCCCCCAACTTCCCCTACTGTTAACCACGGCTATTTTGAAGACCCATGTTCAATTATAGCAATAATTTCGTACGAATATTGTTTCTGTTTACTGGCATTTTCCTATAGGGTGAAATAAATCATTCATGCAAAGTTAATCCACAAGTTCAATTACTCCATTCAATTACTGTTTTATATTCAGCCATGAATGTCACACATCGAAGCAGTTTTTATTTCACAGTTGGCAAAAAAGTCAACTACGGGATCTTCTTTTCATAGCCCATCACCATTCACCGCAGTCGCATGTAGCAATCACTTGCGTGCATAATTTGTCTGATTATAAAGGGCCACTGTTGCATAACAAGATAACTGACCCATTCCTAGTTATATTTCCTCATAACGTATATCACATTAATCGCCTACCTTCACCGTCCTACACGTGTCTTGATCACAACGTTTTCAATGTAATATGTCTTCATGTTCTTACTGTCCCGCTCCATGCGTTCTTCTGATGTTTACGTGCACCCGTGTCGGCAGACAAGAAGCCTCTGAGCGAATCTCAGCAGGAGCGTCTGGAGCGGCTGAAGAAGACTCCTCGCCGCCGACCCGACTGGAACGAAATGATGAAGGAGATCACATGTCCCGACCGGCAGCTGAAGAGGGTCGAGTGTCGCGACCGCAGCGCCCCCATCATCCACGACCTGAAACGACGAGGTAGTGAGGTAGGTGGCGCCACCATCCACCAGGTACGAGTCTCAGTTGGTCAGGGATCCAGGGGAGGGGTGCGGGGATTCGGTCTAGTCTACAGGAAGTGATAAGATAGTTTGGTTTGAATGTTTTTGATTAATGAATCGCAATGAAATCATGCGATGCAGTGCTTGCCATTTTCGGAGCGACCAAATATTGTCAATGCTTCATTCATAGCCAGATAATGTTTAGGGAATCCCAGCTAAGAGTGAATAAATCAATTGATACCAGTAAGCTACAAAGTCAGTGCTAAGCAGCGAAATCTACTCACATCTAACGTCCATCGAAACATTGTTGTTTATTTATCATTTCAGAGGCTAGTTCAAGCTGGCTCCGCCATACATAGCAGAAGGTGCAGAGAACGAGACAATAAGTAAATGTATAGTAGGTAATTACACATTCACCACATATAAAAACATTTACATTCTCCGTTCATTTTATCCGCAAGAGGATTTTACCACTAAAATATTCGCCGCTGAGATCTAGGTTGCAGCCTGCACGACAGATTGTAATCTGGCCGTCTATCGACCTGCAGGAATCAGTTCAGAGGCCAAACGAACCTGGTGGTCCGATCCCTGTCCCTCCCGCCCGACTGTTTAGACCAGCTATTTACGGACCAAGGGCAGGTGCAGCTAAGAACACGCGTTTGTTACCGCGAACCCACAGAATGGTTCCTTTCTTCGACGGTGGGCTGCCATGTGTATACTACAGGAGCAGTGAAGGTCGCTATGTAAACTCAACTGAAAGGGTGTTTATACGGATTTTGACGAGCGCTAGTGAAGGAAAGTTGATACTTTATCGATTTTTTCGGTGCACTGCTAGATAATAAATATAGTTTTTATTGACATTGCAATGCTAATTATCCATCGATTTCGTGTAAAATGTAAGCCATATAAGATTTATTAAAATGGATTTTACTTATTTTGCATAATGCTGCCTCACCATATAAACACATCAGCACTTAGCGGTTGCAATACCAAATCTCAGCATTTTTGTCTTTTCCAGTTTGTGTTTGAGTCTGAGAAAGCGAAGGAGTCGGCGGCGGCCAAGCTGATGAACGACATCCGCAGTGGAGTCAAACTGAAAAAGGTTCGCTGCAACGACAGAAGCCGGCCGAACCTGCAAGGTAAGGACGACTGAACGCTCGATACTTGTGTTATACTCAGTCAATTGTTTAGTGGAACTTCACTTCAACCCACATGTCCTTATTTAGCAAAGCAGTGCTGACTTGTTAAGTGTACCACAATTGGAATGTTGTCTGTTCCACTTTTATCTCACACAAATTCTGAATTATGCTGGATATGAAGTATATCAATGTGCGCATACATTATTTGACTGTAAATTACATATTCATCGTATTTGCTCAGGCGGATTTGGCAGACGGACCAAATCAATTTATGGAGCTAAAAAATGTGTGACGGAACACGATTGGACACATGCAACACAATTCAATTTGCGAGCGTTGTCACGCATTGTTTACTTGTTGCAAGAGACCTTGGGCATGGATGCAAGATAATGCATAGTTGCACCATATCCCATGGAAAAACAAAGCATTGCTTTGCGCCACCGTTCTTAATATGGGCATGAATGCAAGACATTCCTGTGGGCCCTCAGGTGCTATTGAGTATATTGCTATTTACGTGGAAAAATCACCAAGTAAAATGTGAGCCGTATGATCGATTCCATTTAGAAATCCGGCATTGCCGTATGTTGCATTGAACCTGTTCTTTCAGTAAAGACGTTTGCCTGGTACCACAGGCTGGAGAAGTTGCACAAATAACTATTGAAGTATGAAAAATACCGAGATGGAACGATTTCATTTTTTTTTTGCGCTGTTAATAACCCTTCACAATGCACAGTGCACACCATGGCTTGGGTAGTCATGGTGGGTGTCCTGTCGTAAGACAACGAACGGTAATCATTCCAAGCCTGTGAATTGTGATACTGAATCAGGTTAGTTCGGCGACTGTTCTCAGTAAATATACCTTTGCCGCTTATTTGTTCAGATGGGCGCAATTTCAAGCGGTGTCACAAAGTCAGCAGGACGTCCGACTTTTCTCGGACCAGCCGCGATGACCTGGTTTTCTCGGCAGGACTGCGGAAGCTGCGGAGGCAGAGGACGTCGGAAGCGTTCCTGAACCTGCCTCCCGAGGAGCTGATGGACTCCGAGCCGGAGGATCAGGATGACATCGATAGGGTGAGGAGTCGAGGACGGAGGACTTAGGACTGAGGACTGGGGACTGGGGATTGAAGACTGCGGGCTGGGGGGACGGAGCTTTGGGGACAGAGGATTGAGGACTCGGGATTGCGACTGGGGACCGATGTCTTGGGGACTGGGGATTGAGAACTGAGGACAGCGTGATTGAGAAATTTATAGGAAGGCGTTTTCAAATGTCTTTTATAGATGGAATGACAAGGGATATCGCTAAATGGATACTAGGCTTCTAAGAAATGCATATGATATTCCCAAGTTCATACCATAAAAGGGTGGAAGGGTGACGACAGCTCATGATAACACTGTTAAGGTCTCTTCAATTATTTTGAGTGCATTAATATTTCATACGAAACAAAGGGCCTGGCAGCTCATACAGCATGACTTCATATAAGACATAATTACAATTGACACGAAACAGTGACGAATCCGTCGACAAAAATTAAAAGAAAATAAACAATTTTCAACAGATGCAGAGCAAAGCCCAAACCGTGAGCACATCAATTTGTAACGCTTCCTATTCCGCTAAATGATTCATTACACCTCAGCCGAAAGCACAGGAACCGAGTCAAGATGACGTGATCCGGCGCGTACAGTGACGCGACCAGGCGGCAAAAAGCCAGTCGCGTCCCACCCCAGTGGCGGTCACGATCCACAAAGCGGCACCGGTAGACACTGACTGCGGTGATGACCGCGCACAGACGCTGACTTCAGGGTCTGCGGCCCGCGGGCGCAGGCGGGGACACCACGTGACACGTCTGACTGCGTGGATTTTCCGCCGACAGAGGCAGGGGACGCGTCACCTGCAGGTCAAAGATCTGGCGTCCGCCTGGTCCCCTCTCGCACGTTCCTGCCAGGTCGTGCTCGGAGTCTGATGTGCATGAGATGACTGCGTGCACCTAGCGTCTTGTGATTCGCTGAATCAGTGGGCTGGAAGCGGTTGGGTTGAACAAACAGAACGCGGGCTCTGGGTACCCCCTGCATTCACCCTCTGTTTGCTCATGCTGACATTTAACTTCGCAGCTGACTCGAGGCAATGCATATTGCATAGCATTGTAGGAGCAATGCAGTTTTGATCTGCAAGCCAGCTACACATACGGACGCACAAATGTTTTCCGTGACATTGTAATCTTACTTGATGAGCACCGTAATCGCCGCTAGAGGTCGGTGGAAGTAGTTCAGTGATTTCTTTGGGAAGATTATTGCTTACGCGGTTTCTAAAAAACAAAATAATGAAAGGCCATCATGTAACATATACCGACGATCGATAACGATGAAACAGAGCAGCATATACAAATTGTACAATACGTATTGGAAAGCAATATACCTACAATTTAGCAGCCAAATATCAATCGAATGTTAAACCAGAAATAACCAGGCATACGAGTATGTAGTAAACAACTCTCACCCACTCAATGTAACCTCTAACCACGTCATCGCGAAGGGACATCATCATCTCGCAGGCACTAAAATGTGAGCTTCCTTTGAATGCATATCAAAGTCTGACCTCACATGACCCGACCTATGTAATCCTGTCAGGTGCGCGACGACCTCCAGTCTGTACGCCAGCTGCTGGGAGAAGAGGTCAAGAACCGGGAGCGTCTCACAAAGGAAAACAAACACCTGAGGAATGAGCTGAAGAAGGCGCAAGAAGAGCTGCAGCAGAGACCTCGTGTCTCCGTTACACTTCCTCCCAAGGTATGCACCGCTAAGTAAAATAAGTACGCAGTAATGCATGCATGTTCCACTCACCGTCCCAGTGCTAACACTCTTAGCCATACATCGTAATTCTAGGCTCCCGAGAAATCACTTTTCCAAACGGCTTTATCTTTGCATATTATAATCGGCTCGATGCATCAATGTAAAATCATTGCGTCAATGCGACAATGCATTGTCAAAAGAAATTTAGTGTCGCATGTCTCACTAGCACAAATGTATCCCATCAACATGATAATTCTCAAAAACTCACTCCATCATCTTTTGAGATCTTAGACGCCACCTAACACCACCCATTTTCCCTGCCCAGCCGGACAGGTCCGATGACGCTGTGGATGGACTGGATGACGACTTCGGCGCTCTGGAGGGTGAGATGGAGGCTATCCGAGACCAGGCTGGCCAGTCGAGCCGCGAGGCACAGCAGTGGCAGGAGCGCTGTCTCAACGCCGAGCAGGAGCTGGCTGCCCTGCGAGCTCGTCTCGAGGAGCTCGAGACGGGGAACAAGAAGAGCCGCAAAGTGTCGGTGGAGAACGGCGGCGGGGACGGAGAGCTGCGGCGTAACCGCTCGTCGGCCAAGGTCGCCCGCAGTCGGACCAGGGACAGGCTGTCCAAGACGGCGTCCCAGGCGCGCATCAGCCGCGACGAGAGCGGCTGGAAGCAGGAGGCGCCGCTCGAGGACGAGGCGAAGGAGTCCTCCGGCGAGGAGTCGGACGAGGAGCTCGACAGCGAGGAGGAGCGACGGCGCGATGCCGACCAGGAGCGGCGCAAGACGCTCCGGGAGCTGAAAATGTGCCAGAGTAAGGTGTCGCACCTGCAGACGAAGGAGAAGCACGCCAAGGACGAGCGGATGAACCTGAAGAACAGGATCCGCACGCTGAACATGAACATGAAGGACGAGAACAGGAAGTACAAGGAACTGCAGAGGGAGGTGAAGAAGATGGGCGCGATGCTGAAGGACAGTGACGATGAGGACGAGGACGAGGACGATGAGGAGTCTGATGAGGAATCCAGCGAGGAGTCCGTCTCCGAGACAGAGTCTGAGAGCGAGGAGGAGTCGGAGTCGGAGGAGTCAGAGTCGATTGACGAGGAGCTGCCGCTGGAGGAGCGGCTCAAAGCGACTCAAGAACGGGTGAAGCGCCACGAAGAGAGCGAGAAGGCAATCAAGAAGGGCAACTACATGCTGAAGACCACTGCCGAGCGGCTGTTTGACGAGCTTAGAAACGAGAAAGAAAAGTACCGTATGCTTGAAAGACAGCTGAATGACCTTGTAAATGAGCTAGGGTAATCAGATTACAGGATATTATAAACGGATGGCTTGGGTTGATGCGGGTGGGGGGATTCTTGTAAAATAGCGCTTTGTCAAATACGCAAACGCGCCTTGGTGGTATGCAACATCAGAATATACTCTCAGTATCTGTAATTTTAACTTTGCAGCACAATGTGGCAGTAGGTATGCCTTCATATGCTGCGTGTCGTGGAGAAGTCATGTATATGTTGCGGCTAGTCTTATGTGGATGTGCAAATAATGATGAGGCAAGATGTACTTGGTTATGTATTGTGTCAATAAATAATAAAAGTTAAACCAACTTGGCTTTGATAACCACATTTTTTACTTCATCAGAGCGACAGGTAGGATCGCTTCCGCTTGACATGTTATGCTTACACCGATCTGTGTCTGCATCTCATTATCCGTATATCACTCACTGCACTGCATCTTACTGTCCACGTACTACGAGCATGTACATTAGGTACTATGCGAGCATTGCTACATATGCGAGCCTTGTGCTAAACCAGTAACCTCACTTCATTTGTCTTTTTCCTAAGTATACTTTTAGTTGCTTACACCGACGATGTGTGTAGGTGTTTTTTTTTTAACCCGGCGGCCGCTGGGCCTCCGCGCCACCCGCCGGCCGCTGGGGGGGGGGGGGGGCATAAAGTTGCCCCCCCCTTTACTTCTGCGACGATATCGTCGCAACGCGAAGAGATAGAGAAGCGAAACTTTGCACACATCTTCCTGAATACCTAGCTGAGGTTGTGTCCAAATTTGGTGTCGATCCCATTTGAAATGACGTCACAGTGACGTCATAAGTGAAATTATAGATTTGCGACTCTCATATTCCTCACGATACATCACATATATGGGACCGAATATAAAGGGCCGATTATTGGTCAGAAACTAGATGGAAGTGTAGTAAGATGTTTTAGGATGACAGCAGGTGCTGTCCAGTTCATTTACAGTCGAGTTTCATGCTCAGCGTCATCAGAAGCGGTCCATGTCGGAAAACGACAAAACTTCATGACGTCACTGTGACGTCATCTTAGGTGCTACAACCACCAAACTTTCCTCAAACATTGCCTAGGTATTCATTTGAAGCTATGCCAAGTTTCGCGTTCGTAGCTCATCAGGTTTCGGAGATATTTCACAAAACGTAAAGGGGGGCAACTTTATGCCCCCCCCAGCGGCTCGTGGGTTAATTAAGAACGAAAAAAAAGTTGAATGAGACCTGTACGACGGCCACTTTGGCACCGAACGCAGTGGCACCGGAGCAGAGATCCAGATGGTGCTGTAGATGTGTGCAATGGACACAGCTGCAGCTCATGCGGCATCTGCGACACATCGCGCGCGGGCACTGGCGCGAGGAATGGATGCTGTCCATTCCTTGAACCAGTTGCCGCGACGGCAGCACCCCCATAGTGCTCGCCATAGGCTGCAGCTGTGACCAGCTCCCCGTCAGCAGCATGGGTCAGCTCCGCCTACTGCGACTGGCGTAACCGACCACGACAGAAACGAGGCAGCACGAGAGGCAGACGCAGGGGAATCGGACGCGGAAGACGACCCTTCAGCGCGGACTGTCACCCCTACAGCGGCCACGACGCCGTTAGCTCCAGCTCAGTCCCTCCGCCTCCACATTATTTTCACAATAATTACGAAGTGTTACTCCACAATAATTTTACCGTATGACTCCACCTGCCATTGGCTACAAGCCCGTTGTCGATCTTTAAATAAACAAACAAACAAAGTAGCAACAGCTTGACAGTTGCACCGAGACTCTAGTCGTAAATAGCCTTTGATACAATGCTAAGAGAAAAAAAATGTGTGCAAATATCATCATAGTTGGAAGGTCCCATCCACAAGAAAAAAAGATTTCGTGTGCCAGATCTGTGTTTAACAATTTTAGGATCAAAAAGTATATGCTGGGCCTACTGATTGAATGGGCCAAAATATTTTTCACCAGCCATGGTTAAATGAAGCATATTGTTGGGATTGCCACCCAAAACAGCTTCATAAACAATAGCTATTCACCGTGTCAGAATTCCCAAGCCGAATAGGCCATTGACTGGTGGTAGATCTTGCGTGCAAGGGGGACATTGTTTGGCAGCGACGCTTCGAATCGTCCCACGAGGTGTGCTCCTCACGAAACAATTGACGAGTCTTGTTATGGTCATACAAGATCGAACAGAGAGTGTTTCCATATAAAACTTAGATACCTACATATTCATGATTGTGGATGAATTATACTAGTCTGCACGTAGAGTTCTAGCAGTTCATTACACTTTAAAAACGATTAGGGGAGAGCGGGGCCAGTTGAACCACTTTTTATATATTGACATGCACAGCGAGATCTAGTTGTCATATCGAAAAATGCACAATGCCATGACAAAATGTGCTCTTTTGGCTTTATTTTAAGATATGTAAAATTATGTTTCAAACATATTTTGCTGCCAAACGCATGCTTATAAAACAGCTCTACGCCCGTTTCAAATGACCCCGATGCGAGGGTCAATTGAATCAGCCCATGGGGTCAATTGCACCTATCCTTATCAATGGGATGTTTTCCTCTTTAAGGCCACTTTCTTAAGGAGATATTTTGTCCGGTTTACTTTTCCAAATGCTACATTCAATAGGTCGTTGGAAAGCTAAAAGTGCAAAGTTCCTCATAATAGGTGACATAAAGTACATAGACTATGGTAAAATGTGCGGATGAGAAAAATGAGAAATATCTCAGGCTATAGTGTGCTTTCAAGCAAAAGGCTGGAGAAAAAGGGGTCAAAAATTGAGCTCTATTAAACTACTATTTCAGTTTAAAAGCTCATTTCAAAGGTGGACTATTTCCTTTAATGTTTACAGCCTCTGAACAATAACCATTGCAAAGGTCACCGGGGTCCATTGAAACGGCCTGTGGCCCTGTTTCAACTGACCCTCAGAGAAGCGTTTCAATTGACCCCATCCGCTCCCGCCATCTCGCACGCGCCGTAAAGTACATGTCAAACGAGCTGGAGGGACGGCATCATGCTGAATGAAGGGCCAAATAAGGTGTTATTCCGGAGCCAGGAGTTCTTCTTTCAGCAAACAAAGGTATATGATATATCACAAAATATTCATAAAACCGATTTCTCCCAAACGCCCCTCAAAAACACAAAAACAAGTGTCAAATCAAAATTACCGTCCGTTTGCCGCCCAAACGCCGTTGACAAAGGAAGTGGTCGAGCGCGGATGCGCAGTGGTGTCGGCAACGCCATATGTTGCATACTGTTGAAAATAAAGCCATGTTTCATCTGACCCCGTGTTTCAACTGGCCCCGCTCTCCCCTAATCAATATTAAGAAAATATGAACCGAGAAAGAACGAAGTTAATTCGAACTCGGCTTTCCTTGCCTATAGAGACACTAGCAGCCCCAGCCAGGGATAAAGGGAAAGGCAGCTTCCAAAAGAAGCCTATCGAAGCAATGGCCGGCCGCCGCACAGTGGCCCTTTTTCAGAATTAGCACGCATTAATTCCCACATTACCTGAAAGTGGTGCAAGACATCACCACGTGATCAAGGACGTATTCCCTGCCAATGCAAAGAGAAGAAAAGAAACGAACTGCCCAAGGAGATTCGGCCCAACAGCGACAGGCCGCTCGGCCCAAGATTTGGCGCACGTTCGCACGGCTCGCCCGCCGGCCCAGGCCGCTCCGAACGCAAGTGTGGCGAGCCCGCCAGCCGACCGCGCTGCACTGACCGCCAGGACGCCCCAGGGCGTCACATGACCGCATCTACAGCTGTTGCCAGTCCCCGTTAGTCGGCCCCGGCCGGGCAGCAACTAAGGTCATCGCGACGCGAACAATACAAACACATAGGCGCTTTTGACGTTAGATCTTAAGCCGACCACGGGACTTGTGCGGCTTGGACATCAAACGCGACAAGAAATCGGACAGTTTTTCTTGGGCACAGCGTTATGCCTACATGACATTTCAATTAGCACATCTTATGGCAAAAGCCAAGCCACATTTAGGCGCACACCAGGTGACACCAGCTTCGAGCCAGGTCAATGAGCTTAGTCGTATCGAACAGGAGCCACAGCCGCTCGCGGACTGAACTGGCTCGCGTTATCCACCGTAGAAGCAAAATGGCGCAAAATGGCGCGATGCCCTTTGGTGGACATAGTCAGAAGAGATCGGCGATTCGAACGATGTATAATACGACATGTTCCAGAGTGTTCCACTTAACATAAAGCTTCATATGTATGCCACCATCTCCAGTTAATAATTGTCCTGTTATTGTGTCCACAATATTCGGCAAAAGTGGTCTATTTAAGTTTATACAATGAAAATAGTGGTTTCTAGGGCTTCTACGTAAACTCAGCTTCACAGCCATGTCAATAATTTTTAATATTTTCTCATCGAAAGTCTTACAAATTGATGTTCATCTCACCCTACTTTTTAGGGTCCGCCGGTGGTGTCATGTCCGCGCGACTCTCGACAAACTTCGATTTTGCGGTCAGTTTTACCAAAGGTAATTATTTTTCGGAGGTAAAAATGGCACCATCGGATAGTTTGGAATGTTTTGCACACGATTAGACTGCTTTTTACTCAAAAGAAGAGAAACAAATATTTTGAATTTATGCGTGCTAATTCTGAAAAAGGGCCACTGTGCGCCGGGTAATAATTTTCGTCCCTGCATATCAGTTCTGTTTAAAGGCAGCCTTTAGGGGAAGGGCGGTGGTCCCAAAAATTCAGGAATTGTATTGCACAGCTTTCTTCAGAAATATAGCTTCAGCGACTGGGTAAAGCTTGACCTTCACAATTAACTTCGAAGGTGAACAATGAGCAGTAAGCATTAGAAATAGACATGTCCGAGAAGATGCTTCGTTTGCTGCGTTGCAGACTATTTCAAATAACAGAAGCCGTATAGGGACGAACGTCAAACACAATTGGCATCCGCACCGCGTCAAACAAAAATATTCCCTGCAAGTGCAAATAGCACCATTAGCCCAAGACATGTTCTTAAGCCCTTTATTTTAAAAATAATTTCATAATTTCCTACCAGTTACATAACCTACCAAATTACCGCTTGAAGCATTGTATGGACCTGTCGGCACCATCTGTATGTGATCTAGCGCTACGTGACCCACTGCCCTGAGGTTATAAAGCGTGCACCGACAGCCGAAGCCTGAGTATCCGAAGTGTAAGTACATACGTGACGTTGGGGGGGGGGGGGAGGCACACACGTGTCATAACATAACATAACATAACATGTATTCCATGTAACAGCAGGCCACTTGGGCCCAACGAGGTTACAGGTAGATGAACAAACACTGTATG